TTGTTTATGATAATTTTTTTTACCTTTATCCACCTGGCAAAGGTTCTAATCCTTAGAAAGGATATTTGCCGAGTAAAAAGGAAACCGAAAAAAAGCTTTAGCAGCCATTGCAGTCGTCGTGGGAAAAATGAAGGAAAAAAGGACTGGAGAAAGGTGTTCCACTTAACGTGGAGCTCCTTGTTGGGGCTATTGTAGTTGTACATTTACGCATTGTTAGCACGTCATAAAACAAATCTCATGAATATTACCGACTTTTATCTGCCGCTTGATTCTTAGTGCATTGCCAGTTGGGAGCGGCCACATCCTTGACTTGGCTGCGGGTTATTGCCAGAGCGGAATCCTCAGTCAAGGAACTCGCAGCCCCCATCCATTTTCCAGTAGCGATCCTGTCCGTCGAGCGGTGCAGTCATGTGCAGGAATTAATTTTGCGATTACGCGTAATTACAGCCCGGAAAAAAATCAACAAAGAAGGACGCGGCGTTGGCAGGAGCAAAACTTAATTGCGAGTAAGTGTTGCTTAATACTTATTATCTGCACTCGCGCCTCCGCCCCATTTTTGGGCGGGTTCAGTCATGAGGGGCGTGTCAGCGGCATTGCCGAAACTTAATTGTTAGCTTGCCGAAACTTTTTGACGCGATATTTAACCCTTTACTTTTTGTTGCTAATTAAAAAACTTTTGACGGATAAAGAAGCAAAAAAGATGGTAAAATGAAAAGCGAAAAAAGCGAGATAGATGGATATACATATATATATATCTATACGTACGTATGGCTATGCGTTGGTTGTTTACACAAAAGCAATCATACGCCACGTTGTACCTACCCACTTACCCCGATCCGAGCAGTATCGTCACTGTCAACAATACGACATCAAGGCGGGATTCTGGGCGTTTGGGGCTGCTCGAAAGCAAAGAGTTCTGACTGACTGCTTGACGTTGCGTTGAAGTTTCATTAATTAGATAAAACTTTCTGCCATTTCCCCCTACATTGTTAATGACGCCAGCCAACGAGCTGCAAATTATTTGCACACAACAAAAGTCAAAAAGTTGCAGGAGTTGAAGCTGGAAATGTTTGAAAAGGAACTCAGAGCGGTTAGCTATGATATGATGTGCCACAAAGCCAAGATGGATAAAACTTCCCTTACCTTAGGCCAATTTCTTTTTACTCGCCAAATAATGAGGAAAGTCCAAAAAATTAGGTTTCAATTAAAAATGAGGCATTCGGAAAAAAAAGGGTGTTCCAGGCCAATCAGACCCTGTCGGAATAGAACAAATATCTGAAAATAAAAAATCATTAGCCCACCCCAAGCCAACCCCTTTTCCGCACGCTCTCAGTGAGCTAATCAAGGAGCAAGGTGGTAAGTGAAGAAAAACCGGAAACGCCGTGCCAATCAAATTAAAAAAAGGACCACATCAAGTAACCCCGGGATAGGATGCGAGTGCCAGCCAGGAGAGGAGATGGGTGCCAGTAAGATGTAAGACATGGCTGAGTTCATGGGATATGCGGAAGATGAATTTTTAATTTGTTGCTGTTGCTTCCCGTTTTAATTGTTGTTGACAGACTGAGTGACTGACTGACAGCGTAATTTACAATCCTTTTTCTTTTTGCCAGCTTAGAAGCTCCGTCCCGGCAACGGCAGTGATGGAAATTTTAATTAAAGAAATTGCGGTTAATCCCGTTAACAACAACAAAAAAAAATGAAGATTCTGCCCCAGGGGGTCAGCACTTTGGTGTGGCTACAACACAACCAAAATTTGTTGCTAATTGTGCGGGATTTTGTCGAGGGCTAATACACACTTCCCCTCCATCTCCATCTCCATCTCATCTACCTATGTACGCATGAATATGCTGTATATCTTGTGTACTTCAAAAGGTGGTACGATATTGTGGAAACATTTTCATTTTCACTTTCATTTGCTCGCTTTTAATGGTATTATCCAAAAAGGGGGGCATTGCTTGGGTGGAAAGGGGTAACCACACCCACTCTGTCATATTTGTCAAAGGATTTTGAGTAATTTCATTTTATGCCATTTGCACATCAATTTGCATCCCAATTTCAAATTGGTAAGGCGTTCGAGAGAGGCCACAAAGGAAGAGCTGAGTAAAGTGCGTTTCAAAAGTGATTTTACTATAAAAACTTAAAAAAAACAATATTATTCAAAAACGAATGTATAAAGTTATGTAATTATTCTTTAAACTTAATAATAGTCATAATAAGTATTAAATATCTATTTTATTAGAACTGCTACCTTTCGATTGGTTTAGCTCTGATGATTACTCAATGTTTTTATGCGCCATATAATTTTGGTAAACACTGTTTGTGTGTGGCCAAGGAAAATTGTGATGTCATGTTGACATTGTGCGGACCATTAAATCGTGTTAACCTAACCCAAATATTTGGCAGCAAACAATGCAGAGCTAAACCTGTTGATCCTCCCAAAAACGAGTCTGAAATACTTGCTAAAAAATCTAACCAAATAATGGAAATTTATGGCTAACAGCTGCTCTCAAAGCCATCGCAATGAAATGCTGTTGATTCAGCCATATTAAATGACGGATTATTCGGGCAGTGCAGTTGAAGTTTAAAATTAAGAGGGTGTATAGAGGTGAAGGAGGCCCCGTACACATTTTATAAGAGTTGCCCGATGAAGATTCTCAGCGCATAAGAAATTAACTTAAAAAGTCATTTTGCTGGCAAAGGATGAGCTTGGAGCCAGGGTAAAAAAGGATTAATTGCATGAGGAGCTCCACCGACCCCATGACAACATGCGGCCATGAAGTGAATTCTCTGGCTTTCCCATAAGCCATTGACTTGCCACATCCTTTTGGCCAGGACGTAGCCAACCATCCAACCAGCCAACCAGCCATCCATCCATCCAGCCAACCAACGAAAGAGTCAACCCAGAAGGATGGGTCGGCATGTGTGCTCTGGCGGATCCGTATTTTTTAATAGTGTTCCGTGTGCCTCTTGGCGTTAATTTATGCCACAAAATCATTTTCTTTTATACTCTTCGCCACACTCCCAGCCACATGCGAAAATAAAAATTAAAAAAGTGCAAAATATAAAAAGGCAAAGGACGAAGGAGCGGCATGGAGCGGAATGGAGATGCAAATTGCGTTGCACTGGCCCCAGGATATGAGACGCAAACGCCAACGCAGTTTTATGTCAAGTGAAAAATGAGTGCGAACTATGACATGAAATAGGAGCATATCTGAGCCTTATCCCCCCAACCCCCCAGCCCCCCAATGTGCAAATCCGCCAACAGAGTTCTATTAGTTTCTGTTCGCTGCAAATGCGTCACAAATAAATGCAAAATTCGGGATTAGCCCGCAAAAACGAAATCGAAAACGTAAACGTAAACGTAAACAAAAAGAAGAAGGAGAAGCGAAAAACAAATTAAAAAACTAAACCCACATAAATAATTTATTATATGACATGCCGCCCGACGATGATGATGAGCCGCCCTGATAAGCCCCGTCCCCAGCACGAAACGCTCGTACTTTTCTAAAAAAAAAAAAAAAAAACTAAAGTACATGAAACAACTTAACAGAAAATATTACGACAAGCTCGGCTCACTTCGGCTTTGGCTTGGGTTCGAGTTCGGGTTCGGGTTCGGGTTCAATCGCCAGCGATTTCTCGGAAATACTGCACAACTTATGCAATCTAAGGCGCAGTACCGTGATTTGATATACACTGATTCGCTCAATTGAGCGGTATACAGTCCCGTACTTAGTACACTCCGGCCGGAATGCACACGTCTTAGCTCTATATGTTGATATAGTTGATATAGATCGCGGTGACCAGACAAGGCCGATGTTTTCACTGTCATTGGCATTGGTGGGCTAAGTGCCCTGACAATGAATTCGTTGCAGCGAGAGTGATGCAATCCACTCAAAGCAAGGTCAGGTTGCCAGCTTGTAACGATCTTAGAGATTTATGCCTTCAAAAGGAGTGAACATTAAGGGCTTGATAAACAAGATACTTAAAATAAGATTAAGGGGTCTTTACATTTGGGTTTTTTTAACACACTTATGAACTTAGATCTTTTATTGCCCTTATTTTTTAGGGCCTTTGATGTATGGCTCTTAGAAGCTTTACAACAAAAAGTATTTCCGAAGATTCCAGAATCTTAAAATATTTTTATTTGGAATTAATTTTATTATTGTTGCAATGACGATATAAACAGTTATTATTTTATCAAAAATTTTTCTATGCATGTTAAAAAATGCAAGAAAAAAGTTTATTTTCATTTACAAATATCTCCATTCATGAGAATCGTTTTTCGGGCAAAAGAAAACTTACATTCCACACTACGCTCTATCAGTATAGGCACACGCTGGCGCCCCAATGCCGTCTTGCATACGAATTCATTCAACTCAAGAGCACTGGCCAAAACGATCTAAACTGAAGTGACCCCGTCGACCGACTGGCCAACTATAAATAACTGAATGGAATAAGCGTCCAAACATTAGCAATGAAATCACGCAAAGCCAAAAGATACAAACAAATATTGGGGAGTACAGAAAACAAGGAATGCGCGGCACATGGACGAGTATGATATACGTCTTCGCGATGCGTGGCAAGGTCGTTTATTTTTGTGAAGCACTGTTTAGAAAATGTTTTTTCAACTACACAAGAAGCGGACCAAAGAACGAATTGATTTTTTGCGGGTTCTGAACTTGACATTGAATCTTTGTAGAGCGATAAGGTTTTGTTTTCAGTTCTTAGCTTGTGTTCTATTCTCTCTCATCTTCTTGTGAATTCGATTTCCATTTAATTTGCTAATGATTCTGTTATTGTTTTATTTAAGCTCTCTCCTCCTCTCGATTTGAAGCTTTTCTTCTTCTTGCGGTCACACAACTGTACTTTGGACACGTGACGGAACAACATTACTTCCAGTCGATAAGGAGATGGGACTGGAAGCTGGAAGCTGTCAGCTGACGCATACCTATACTTACATAACCCGCCAATACGCGACTGTGTGAGTGAGTAGATTAGGCTTTTGGAAAATATTTACAATGCATTTATTGGAAGCAGTCAAATATTTCACTTTTTCGGGAGATGTGGGGGTTCTTATGATGTCATACAATAGTATTCGTACAATATAATTAATATACATATAGTTTAATAAATACATGTTTATGTACGGTGTGTGTGTGTGTTTTTTTGTGTGTATACTGAGAAAACCCATAACCATATTAGTTCTAAACGGTTTCATATTAAACTGGTATTAATTACTTTTATTACGCTCAATTTATATAAATTTTTCCCTAAAATCTTATTTCCAAATAAACGGCTTATGGTGAATCAGAATTTTATTAGTTTTATAATGTTTCAAGGGTCGCCGTTATTTTGTAGGGGAATTTTAAATACCAATATAATAAGCCCTGACAGTAAGGGAAAACTTGCAATATCCAAAATTAAATAAACCCTTTTAATATGTGAAATGTAATTCTGATTTGCCAAACATGTCGGCTATTTCGTTATGAATTATGAACAATTTGACGATGTTTTTTCTCAGCAGGGGTATGTGTGTTGTGTGGTTAAGTATAACTAAATCAGGACACAGCAGACTTGGCCATTCTCGCAATCGGTGCCGGGTCGCAGGAGCCTCTGGTGGCATCGGTCCATGCACTGTCCCAAGTGTTCCGCACAGGGCGCTGGTCTAACCGGCACTGCAACGGCAACGGGATGACGTTTGACGTTTTTGAGGGCGGCGGGACACAAAGAAATGGATCGGGGTTTTATCTGGGTTAGTGGCGTTTTTCGGGGATGGGGGATAGCAATGCCAATTGGTTTTGGGGTTAGGTTTCATTTTTAGGGATGCAAAGCAGGTGGTGGGGATCGGACTGATGGGGTTACGTTTCGTTTTTTTTTTTTTGGGGTTTAAAGCAGAATGGCATACAAAGCTAATGGCTAGCAATCTACTCACGTTCATAGCAACACTCCACGCCCTGTCCGGCACTCGTGGGACACAATCCCTTGTTCGAGGTGGGCTCGATGCAGTCCGCCGTCCTGACACACAGTCCCCCCACCAGAACGCATTGCCGATCATTGGGATATATGCGCACGCCCTGCAGCACTACGATTTAAGGGGTGGATTAGCTACATAGCACCCCGATCCTCCAGATCGCACACTTACTGTACACATCAAATTGGTCCACTTCGTTTGTCTCGATTTCGGCCTGCACCTGCAGCATTAGGATTGTGCTGGCCACCAGCAGGCAGCTTAAAAAGCCCATTCTCAGCGACATATTCGAATATTTGGCTGTGTTACCAGGCGTATACGTGATATGCCTCTAATCGATTCTGCTCGATTCGATTTGGTTTCCCCTTTAGTTTCAATACACTTCACTCTAGTTATCCACTTCCTCTCGATGGCACGGTTTTCGATGGACTGATCCCAACTAATTACGCTACAGAGTCTTTTCAACGAAAAATAATACTCACTTGTAGAGAGAGTGTGAGCAACAGAGCGCGAGGGAGAGAAATAGCGAACGTTTTTTGCACAACTAGCAGCGGAGAAAGAGAAAGAGATGGGAAATGTGGAAGAGCAGAGCGGAGAAAGAGAGGGGCGGAGACGGGAGGAAGCTGAGGAAGTGCGGTTCAATTAAAGACCGTGAGAGAGTTTAGAAAATTGGCCAACTCCGATCGGCTCCATCCGCCTCAATCAGCAACGCTCTCGACTACACATAGAGAAACTATTATTTTTTTTGCATTTTATCATTAAATTATTTACCGTAACATGAAGTAAGAACAATCAACTATATGGGTAGAGATTCTTAAAAAAAACTTTTAAATATTATTGTTATTTTCAATAAATATACGAAATAAAATATTTCTACGAATTACAAAACTTTCAACAGCAATATGACAGCATAGACTAACAAAGAAAAATATAAGACTCATTTCTTTTAATATTCGTATGAATTAAATTTACTATCAATAAGCTTTAATAACAGTCGGTTATTTTTTAGAGTAACATATAGTATAATATTACATTTCAAGGGGAAAATTCCTTGCGGTGTATTAAAGATCGCTCAATGAATGGACCCACAATCAAGCGTTCAACTCGGGCAAATAGCGCCAATCAGCGACCATCGGCAGGCAGCAAAAGAATAAGAACAACAAGAACGATGGTCTGCATCAAATGAACCGCATTGAGCGGGGCGTAACGTGATTTTACTGCAATCCGATCTGGTTTGGCACACACAAAACCCCCCGCCTTCCTTTCTCCGCCTTCTCCGCATTGGGATGTCTTATCGGCGCTGTTTGTGTAATTTTCGAAAACAATTTGTGTGAAATGTTTGTGTGCAAAATAAACAAAAAAATTGAAATATTACGCATACGCCGGGGCGTGCTGGCTGGTGCCCCAGAAAAAAAAACAATTCTGTTTTGGGCCAGATGTTACCTTCGCACGATCTAAACAATTGCGTCTGGAAAAGAAATTCACTAGAAGCGATCAATGAATGAACTAATTACCTGACCCTGAGAAGCTAAATGGCAATGGGTAAAGGAAGTACTTTATTTTTTTATTTACTTAACATGCCACATCTTTGAATGAGAAAACAAACGTTTACTCTTTTTGCCTTTTTTTGTGTTGTACACACACAGAATGCACTTCACCTCCAGATCAGCTGATAGCGATTAAAGGGTTCAGTTTCAGACCTTGTGAGTCCATACGCATCGAATGGGAGCCCCACAACAGAAAAAATTCCCCTGAACTCAACGCTTATCAGTTTAAAATAAAAGTTTCACCACAAAGCTTTCACCCAAAAAAGCTGTTGTTGAATGGTTTTTGGAATTGGTTTTTGTCTTGGGTTAAAGCTTTTGCCAACTGAGTTGCCAGACATTTCCCTTGAACTTGAAATATCCCCCAGTGAGCCCCTAAGTAATTCAAAAGCCGAGTTCCTAGAAAAGAAATGCAAACAACTCGTTAGGTGAATCATCTTCGATAACGTGCTGATTTATTTTACTTAAGTACTTATTCATCTAGTTTCAGTTGAACTGGCATTTGAATGCATATGCACACGAAGATATCTTTCATTGTCAGTCTTTTTTTGTGGGGATCTTACGACATCTAATACTTGGCCAATTGCCATAAACAGCAAATATCACAGAGTCGGAGAGTAAGGCTAGAATCCGGGCTAATCGGCTAGTCGGCTAGTCGGCCGACTTCTGCAGTTCGTTGACGGTGATCACGCTGCAGGTGATTGCAGGTGGCAAATGACTGACCGCTGGGGGCGGAGGAGGCGTGGCTGGAGCACCCAGTTCGCCGGCCTTGTTGCTGAAGGGTATCACAAACACACTCGTCTTGGCCGCATGCTGCATCTTGATCACCGTGTCATAGCTGGGCGGTGCAAACTCACTGTACGACGGCGAGGGCGTGGGCGGTGCCCTCAGACCCTCGGCGGACTGAGCGCCGGCGGGACGACGCCTCATGTCCCGGCATCGACGATCCGAGCAGGCCATTAGCATGAAGAAGGCGGCCAGGGCCAGAAAGGTGGCCACATACCACACAATCGTGATCACATCCATCGCTGTCTGGGATAGTTCGTTGGCCGATCCGACGACAGCTGAAAGTATTTAATGTCAATTTAGTTAAATTCATAGAAATGCATATTCCAGCCAGCTCACAGACAAAACCCCAACTTATGTTTTCATTAGAATCAATAAGCGTAAAACCAAACTTTCTATAGAAACCCCCAGAATGCCTGTTTCATCTCAGTACCAAAGTTTACTGCCCGCTAATGTTGTGTTGTGCTTCCAGTCACGAATTGTGGGTCTGCGCCAGTTATAAACTTTATGACGAAACTGCTCGATTCGCATTACTGTCGCGTCATCGAACTACGCTAATGGCTTAAATGGCCTATTGATAGGGGCTAACCCCGGCAGTGAGCACCGGCACCGCAATTAGACAGAACTGGTTGATTGTCGGTTTCAAGGGTCCGGTAAAATTGAGATATTACCAGTGGGCGCAATCGGTTACGAAACTGAGTTCACTTAATAGCAGCTGTAAGCCTTTAGAACTTTAGGCACGGAGAACACAAATTCCATCGACATTTTTAATATTTTAAATGGGGGGCTTAATGTGTTTACTATCTCAGAAAACTAAAAATAGACTTTTATCATACCTGCTGTTATTCAAATTTGTTTATAAGTTATCAGGGTAAACATTATATTTATAATTAATTCAAATGAAAAATTGCCATATTTAAAAAATATTATCAATATGAAAACACTTCAATTTATTATTTAATACTTGCACAGATAAGATTCTAGAAATAGGGTAATGATTCTTTTTATATTTAACAAGGAATAAATGATTGTTGTCAAGATAATACACTAGGAAATTGTCTTTTTTTCGGAAACGCAGGTCTTACTCATGCAACTAATTTAAACAGTTTGGATTGAGTAAACTTAAGGTTTTAGATTTTGTTATTGGTGTTTTCACGCTCTACAAATTTGGTATCAAGTAGCATATGATGCTTCTAAACACTTTGGTTTTGGTGGCTAGTCACTTTGTTCTTCATTTAGATACTCACTGTTCTTGTAGACAATTATGCGGTTGTTGTTGGCGATGGTATCGGGAAACAAGTCCACCTCAGTGGTTCCGTTCACGGACGTTAGGTTGTAGTTCAGCTGGCGGGAGGATGACTCGTTGAGAACGTTCTCCAAACTGAAGAGATAGGACTGGCCGTGTATGCAGCACGAGCTGGCGATGATTACTGAAATGGAATGAAATGCCCACGCCGAACCAAACCAAACCGCATCGAATCGAATCGGATCGCAACGGAGGGGAACGGAGCAGCAGAGGGGGTATTAGCGAAATTTAATTATCAGGAAATCAAGACAGTGCGGTGAGCTCACTGATAGCTTATCACCAGTCGCCATTCTGTGGCGTGCGAACAAATGGATTTAATTACAGGTGGGAGCGCTGAAGACAAACATCTTCATTGGCGGCTGATAAGAGTAACTAAATATAGCCACTGCCAGCGGGGCGTTCTCCTCGCAAATGGATCGCTTAATAAGCTCACTCAATCGGGCGCTTAAGTTTACGACCTTAGCCACTTGACGATGACGACCCGGTGTCTGAGGTGGGATACTTTGGGATACCTTCAGCCTTGATATGGCTGCAGATCATCTCCATTCGCAGCGACTAGTGGGGTAGGTGCTAGGTACGTATTATCTTTCCAGCTATGGCTTGCAAAATATTTTGACACTCCCATCAAAACACAAACACCATAAAAGCCAGTTAAGCTGCGACCAATAAAACATTACGTTCCCGCTATCTCATTTTGAAGAGCATTCGATGGGTTGGCAACTGTGTTTGCACACTTCTTTGGCGGCAACCATATTTCGCCATCGAAGGTGCGTTCTTTCATATTTATTTGCGGGATAAATGGCACACGGCACACCATCATTAGACATGACAGGTAACTTTACAACGCATGTCAATGATAACTTGATTGCGGACCGGTTTCCGCTATCAATTTCACCACAAAGCTAATGAAATTTCGGTCGCACAAAATTGTTGACCTAGGTTGGGGCTATGACGAGTCTCGATGAGAGACATCTGGTCATTTGCGTAATAACTTTTTTTTTTTCCAGTACAGAGGAAAAATTACTCAGCTGATTACGAGATAATGCATACGCCCTGTTGTCTAGCCAAAAAGTGTAATTTGTAATAGTCAGTAAAGTTGTATGAATAGCTTGTTAAGTGTTTATTTTAATCACTTTATCTTATATGGCAATGGAAGAAGAAGAAGTTATCTAAGCTATAGTCATGTGGAAATTCCGGTCCCGAGACAAATTAGTTGAATGGAATCTTTGTACTAACTTGTGATAATATTCAGATTATGGTAATTAAAAATAATGGAATCTTACGCGTAGACTTAAACAAATATTTTCCATGATGATAAAACTTGTAAACATCATTAAATTTATCTGAGAATGTAACCAAACAATTACAAGTAATCTTAGGCCTCCTTGTTCCACTTCTACGGGGACTTAAAACAAGATTACAGCACTTGATGTATGGTAACTAAAAATAACTGCCAACGCTAATGTTGGGTGTGGGTTTCTTGGGCGAAAATACCCATTTAAGAGTGGGTAATTTGTGCGGGTGGGTTCGGTTGTTTATAGAGTGTCAAGTGGATCCAGATAAGGTGGCAGTAAAAAGCACGCATGCAAAAACACCAGCACAAACCACCCAATGAAATGCCAAACAAAACGAGCAATGTGGAAGTGAAAAAACAAGCAGCAACAGCAAAATATTAGCAATTAAATTCTAATTACCCGCTAATGGCAAAACGTGCTAGAGTCAACGTCAGCAACTCCAGTGGAGCTAGTGGTATCACCTGTGCAAACTGAATATACATGGATATGGGTGGTATTGTCTTGCCCACATGCCATGTGCTTGGTTTATATATACTTATATATATATGTATGTATGCATATCGGAGCTATGGATAAATGAACTCCATTTGCCTTGAACCCGACTCTCTACTAAAGAAATCGAATTTCGGGAATTTCCGTGATTTGTTGCCATTATCCCCAAGTAGGGTGGCTCCGCCCCATTTAATAACATCATAAGTCATTTGGGGCTTGCCAGCGACTTGATTTTAACTGGTTTCCATAAATGCCGGGAAAATTGCAAATCGAGATATCGCCGGTCCACCCCTCTTAATAACCCAACATCCCACTTTAGTGAAATGTCACCGAAAGGAGGGCTTTAATTTTGATTCGTTTAGATGATATTTATAAGGCGATCACATGACGCCGGCTCACAGATCTTATCTAGGGGGATTAGCAGATGACGGGATTGTAAAGACATCGTTAACTGGTTTACGATGTCTGGGCGAAGGCCCAAGATGATATGGTCTTGACGCCAGAAGTTCCAAAAACAGTTGTTTAAGGCTATAACGATCATTGGGATTTGCAATGCTTTGATAAGACTGGCTTGAATTTAATGATATTCAGGATTAAAACATCACTTTCAATGAATGGGAATATTTAAGCTTCTCTTTTGACAAAATCAATAAGATCGGAAAGAAATAGGTGACTACTAATATTTAATATTACTTTTGTATTGTACTAGTTCTCGATTCAGGAACACATCAATCATATTGGTTCATTTAATATTGAAATTTATGAGGTCTTAATGCAGCGAATAGCAAAACTATTTTTGTTAAGAATTCTTTAATTAATAACTGATATTTCCTGTTTCGCTCAGACTTAGCTTTAAGCGACGACTAGTTTTCTGAGATAATGCTATTGTCAATACTCTAAAAATACCTATCCTATACCAAATACGGTTCTATAGACCCATTGATACAAACATTCCCTGCTCACAATGTTTATTCATGGTATAATTATCTCCAATCAGCTAGGGTTTGTTGAAGTTCACGTTCACATAATTAGCATATGCTTGTTCGAGACTTGTTTACTGCCCGCATTTGAGATATACACACAGGTAGACAATATCGGTGCATACATATATCCAGAGAAGGCCTGTCTGAGACTCACCCATCATAATTGGCAGCATTGTCTGGATCCGGCTCTGTTCCATGGCGGTGTTCGCTGGCTTTCAGGTAACTGGCACTGTTGTTAGTTTGTTTTTTTAATTCACACACTTGTCGGCCGGAATTGCAATCAATGAATTTCCATAAATCGTTCACTTCACTGAGAATTGCACCGGGCAATCGGCAATTGGTAATTGGCAATTGGATATGGAGGCGAGCTTTCACTTGGATGCGGACTGTCCGCCGAATCGATCGTTCAGCTTCAACTGTGTGTCGCAGACTGAGCGAGTCGCTCCGTTTGCCCACAGCTTTTAGCCGGAGCTGCTCTTTCTGGTTGTGCTGTGCTGTGTTGTGCTGTGTTGTGTTGTGGTCTCTGCCAGCGTCTTTGTGTCGCTGTGGGCCCCCCTGGCGTATGAGTCACGCGCTCTCCGCTCGGCGAGAAAGTAATACCGACGATTGGCGGGACTGGTTAGAGCAACGTATCTAATTGCTGGCCAAAACATCAAGCAAAAGCGTTTTAGAGGCGGAGGTGCCGCTGTTGCCACCGCAAAACCAATGAATGATTGGAGATGGGTTCGGTTCTGGTCCTGTGGTCACCATAGTTTTTTAACTAATCCCACAAAAAGTCCAAGTTACCATGAATCACATCCTCTCCACTTCCAAAATCAAAGAGGGAAAATTTGAATCTTGAATATATAAAGAATGTGAATCATAAATTCTAAACATTAAAAAAAAACTATTTCCTTTTGAAAGGGAAAAAGTACACTAAAAAATTTTGTACTTTACCCAATAAATTTAGAAACAGAAAACGCAAATAAAATATACTTACTTATTAAAGGAAAAAACACCTTTTTTCACATTAATAAAATTAAAGCAAATTTGTGGGAATAGATAAACAAATAAAAGACACACATCAATGAGTCGAATTTCAGTACTACTAATTTTATAGATCAATCTTTTTTAATTGGCAATCAATGTGTTACCAATTCTTTAACTTTATATTAGATATATTATGCTTTAATTGTTAAGGTTTATTGATATCTAAAATATCTTGCTGCGTAGTTTATGCAAAGTAAAATGATGTGCTGTTAAATTGATTGATAAAGTCATGTCAATATGCCCAAAAAAAAACTGATAAGTGATAAGAAAAATAAAGAATTTAAACACTTGCTTTGTATTCCGCTGTGCCATCATGTGGGTCTTCGATAAAACACAAGCCACACCTTTTATTGAAGTCTTTAAGTTACCGTTTGCTTTAAAAACAATTTTTTTTCGTGGAGGCAGATCCACTTGGAGAGTGGCCCAAAGAAGTCGCCAGGCTTGTGGTTATTTTTGGGCGTTAACTCACACCTACACGCCCCATTCCGAGGCGCTAATTCGCTGTGCGAATTTCGCGATTTGACCAGATCGAAGCGTCAGAAGAAGATCGAGTGTCATTTTCAGGATACCCGAGCGGTCTTTCCCTGAAAATGATGGATGGTTCGGTGGTCAAACTCCTTATCAGGGTGCTTGACACGAATTAAGGCCAAGTGCTGATTTCGGCCAAACCACAAGCGATAGAGCGATTGCCGATCGACCCTGAACTTGATGGATAGATCGATCGAACGAACGTCTGGGGCTCTTTTGTGTGCGTGTTATAATTGGCACCTGGGCGTTATATATAGAGGTATAAACGTGGACCAGCTACCGGTTGCCAAGGGGGCCGCAACATTCGCTAATTGATTCGCGTACTACGACTCCAAGGCAATTGGACAATTGTGGGCCGACATTGAACGGGGGCACAGATTGGCCGGCAAATTGTCTCGCAGCCACGATGGCGATAACCAGTTTGGTCAATTGCGGCAAGTCAACGACCAGTCGACCCCAGCACGTGCCAGTGTCCAATTGGTAACAAAGGAAAATCTACGCAGGTAGCGAGGAAGCGTAAGCAGACCACAAATCGATTAACCCATGGATGACGCAGTGGCAGCAACACCTTTCCTCTAGTCGTGACCAAACGCCGATTTCTTGGCAGATGAGTTGGGAGTGCGGGGTGCCTGTTCAACTGGTTATTGGATAAGGCACGTGCTGATTCACCACGAACTGTGTCACCATGTGATGAAAGCCCAAACACCCGAGCTGAGGATGATCTGCGGAGGGCGAGGGTGAGGTGATTCCCGTCCGCACTTTCGCTACGCTCTGCTGGGATTTAGTTGGTTTATTTATCAGTTAATATACGTATTTGAGTGAGTTGCGTGTGTATACATATAAATTAATTGGCTTAAGAGCTACTGACCACTTCAACGATCTTACAGTTACATTGCAGTTACATGTTTCGAGTAAATACTGTAGTTCGTACATACATAATCTCGTGAGCGTGTGTGTGTGTGTGTGCCTACATATACTCTATTATACTCTGGATTGAACAATTGACAACTTTGGCCAGCACACAACAAGGACATCTACAAGCGCGTGGTTTTCTAGGCGTACAAATACATAACATACATCTATGCAGTACAGAAACAGGTACAATCTATGTGGAATGCTCGGCCAAGTCCTGGCTGGCCCATGGAATATTTACGCTAGCTAATACAGAGACTAGTACTGTGTGGCTTTTGCTTATAAATAATTGTTGCTTAGGTAAATAATTGATATAATTTCATAGAGTACGGTAATACCAGTGAGATTTCATCAGTGAGTAAACAATTTGCATCGCCAAAAGGCGGCTTCAACAGTTACAAATACTAAATCGATACGGAGCGTTGAAGAACATCAAACTTAAATATATACATCTGTAAAACAGTGGAGAATCTCTGGGGGAGTATTCTGGTATTCTCGATTTCTGGTTTTCTGCTTTTCGGTATTTGGTTCGAAGTGAACACATCGACAAAGGTGACGTTTGATCGCTAACGCTAATCACAAAACATAAAATCAGTCCTAACATATTTACATGGAATGCTGATCTGTTCAGATAGAGATTCAATTACCTAATAGGACTAATACAACAAGTGTGCGATACCAAGTACTTGCTGATCTGGCACAAAGCGGAGCAACCCCAGCCGCGGATCCTTATCTCTCCGGGAACAGCGACTCGTAGCTGGGCGGCAGATCCTTGGGCGTGGCCGGCTGCTGTTGATGCTGGACATGCTGGTGCTCGTGCAGGACGCTATCATCGTAGTGTGACTGTGCCGCTGGTGGCAGCTCAATGGTGGGCACATCCGACTGCAAATAGCGTTATCAATCATTTCCGGATCTAGACAGCGACAGCCCTGGGGACAATCTGTACTCACCCTGGCGCGTCGCTGGTTGAAGCGAGCAGCGGAGGCCTCATGCGCCCGCTGCTGCACTGTTATGCAGTTCCAGTACTTCCAGCAGATCCACACACAGAAGCCCACGCCCAGCATGGTGAAGATGAGCGACGTCAGGGCCGAGATGGCCACATTGGCCGTGTCGATTTCCTCGGGCACGATGGCGTCGTGGAAGCAGGTGCCCTCGTCGCGACACGGATACAGGCAGTTGGTGATGTTGTCCCGCACAAAGTGCCGCGAGATGCACGAGTACTGGTCGTTGGGATCGCACAGGAAGTCCCCGTTGAACTGGCACTCGGAGTGGGCCGTGAGCACCATGCGCAGCTCCAGTGGATCGCCGAGTATATGGCGCGATCGATCAACGAAGATGTGCACGTTGACCTCGCGGTCGCGCTGGTCGAAGATCAGTCGTCCGGCCGGGCCGTCAATGGAGATGTCCGTGCAGATGCGTTCGCTGGGCGATCGGTTGCCGCTACTGAACTGGATGTAGTCGATGCACTCCTTGGACACGGGATCGCGCCGGAACTTTAGGCGCGTGATAATGGTGTAGATGCCGCGCGGGGGCCGCTCGCTGGTCAGCACCCGGAACTGGCAGTCGTACTTGATCCTGTTGGCCGCATGGCCGTGGGGCAGTGTCAGGTTCCACATCTGCGTGACGATCGCTCCAGAGGTGTCCTCGGACTCCAGCCGCACCGTGGGATCGCCCCGGAATGGCTTGGCCAGTGTGTAAAATAGTTTGTCCGAGCACATGTTGTCCTGGAGGCGAACTGGGAGGGGCCAGACACAGAGCTATTAACTTTTCCTGGAGGGGATTGAGAGGCACACTCACCATTCTTGTAGGCAGTGGAAAAGGTCACCAACATGGCCAGTAACCAGAGTGTCCCGATGCAGACCTTTCCCAACATGTTGGCACTTGTCCCGCGTCCCCACGTCCCGACGTCCTGCTTGTGTCCTTGCTGTTCCGGCGCGACTGGGTTCAGCTAGAATCCCAGCATTTGCATTTGTTTTAGAATTAAATTAGAATTTGTTTATTGCTAAATTGAGTTTTGTGTGACCGTTGTCGAGCCACTGGAAAATACCACGTGAAAAAAATACCTCAAAACATCAAAAAAGTTATGTTAGCTGAGGCTCAAACCACAACCAAAAAATACTTTTAAACGAAGCTAGGAAGGACCGTTATTTGCAATGTATGGAAATTTTATTAAATTAATATATACACTCGCTCTCAAAACTCTGCGTACACACACAAATTAAACGAAATCAATCTTTTAGACGGCATATCTTCGAATGCAGGATATTTATTGAATTACATTTTTTGGCACTTCATACATAGCCTCACCTTGCTTTTAAGCTTCCGAAAAATTATTATGTCTTTAAATTATTTTATTATAATTAATAAGGAAACACGAAAAATAAAACAAATATGGACCCACATACATACTTCTCAACGAACACTATATACCCATTCACTACACGAGTAATGGTAATGAAAACGCATTCGTAATCCAATTCGTAATGGCAATTTTCGCTGCTGGGAAAACTCGGCTTAAAATAAAGGTATTGGGCGTAAAACAGCTCAATTCATTTGCGTTCTATTCACAAATTGTAAAATGTTTATAATATACATGGTGCTGACGGCAGCATTAGGCCTGCGTTTTCTCGATGCAGCTTTACGGGTGCGATCGACTATTGATATTGGTAACCCATATTTAAAACAATGATAAAATAACGTTCCTTATTCTTGGAACTATTCTTTAGGAATACCTAAATACTTGAATTTTTCAACAAGCCCATTCGTAAAGATCGGTGATGGTTATTATTTTTTTGATACTAAGGTGAAAAAGAATTGGTTTGATGCCGCCCAGTCTTGTCATCGAAAGAACGCCCATCTAGTAGCATTTGAGACGGTTCACGAGTGGGACTTGGTCAACCGGTTTATCTTTAAAAACAAATTAGAAAAACTATACTGGACCGATGGTACGAGTTTGGCCAATAAGGGAAAGCATTATTGGTTCTCAATAGGCGACCCAATAACGTCGAACATTTGGTATCCAGGGGAGCCAAATTTTCAAAACGGAAATGAGTATTGTGATGAGATGGGCTACCGGCGCACTGCAACCACTTACTTATTATTGAACGACAGAACATGTGATAATTTGGTAAACTACATTTGTGAAAAAGATTATCCAAAGACAGCCTCTGTCGTTGTATGGTAATAAACACATCATTAAAATAAAAGTTTCTTTTATTTTAAATTGTTTAAGAAAAAACTTTTTCGGAATTTATTAGTATTTTGCTCATTTTCTAGAAGTGTGATTTTTTAAAGTTTGTTTGGTGGATTACAAAAAATGTAAAAGCTAATATGGATTTCTTTTTAAAACTCAATTTGCTAAAATAAAGGATTAAGTAACAACATAAAATCGTTTGAATTGATCAATGAGCATTTTAGAAACAACAAATTAAGGTAATCTATTTTTCAACTTTAAATTTAAATGTTTGCTTACAATTACAAATTATTTTGTATAAAAATTAACACATCCACACATTTAAATTAATGAGGGTACTTTATTAAAGTTATGATTTAAAGTTTAGCTCTCAAAGCTTCGTAGCACTTGCTCCTGTATCTCCTGTACATGCTCCGCCAAAAGTCCATCCTTTCGCCATCCGGATTGGCGCACATCTTCAGCTCCCGGTCGATGAGTAGGCAGTCCAGCTGGAAGGGTTTGTCAGCCTGGGGTATCTGGAGTCAGTGTCAGGTTCCACGTCTGCGTGACGATCGCTCCAGAGGTGTCCTCGGACTCCAGCACCGTGGGATTAGCTAGAATCCCAGCATTTGCATTTGTTTTAGAATTAAATTTGAATTTGTTTACTGCTAAATTGAGTTTAGCGTGACCGTTGATGAATCACTGGAAAATACCACGTGAAAAAATACCTCAAAACAAAGAAAAAATATTTTAGCTGAGACTCAAACCACAACCAAAAAATATTTTTAAACGAAGCTAAGAAGGACCGTTATTTGCAATGTATGGAAGTTTTATTAAGTTAATATATACACTCGCTCTCAAACTTCATAGCCTTACCTTTATTTTAAGCTTCTGAAAAAATATTATTTATTTAAAAATAAAAAATGTATTACAAAAAATAAAACAAATATGGAACCACATATGTATATACTTCTCTACAAACACTATATACCTATTCACTACACGAGTAATGGTAATGAAAACGCATTCGTAATCCAATTCGTAATGGCAATTTTCGCTGCTGGGAAAACTCGACTTAAAATAAAGGTATTTGGCATAAAACAGCTCAATTCATTTGCGTTCTATTCACAAATTGCAAAATGTTCATTATATACTTGGTGCTGACGGCAGCATTAGGCCTGCCTTTTCTCGATGCAGCTTTACGGGTGCGATCGACTATTGATATTGGTAACCCATATTTAAAACAATGATAAAATAACGTTCCTTATTCTTGAAACTATTCTTTAGGAATACCTAAATACCTGAATTTTTCAACAAGCCCATTCGTAAGGATCGGTGATGGTTATTATTTTTTTGATACTAAGGTGAAAAAGAATTGGTTTGATGCCGCCCAGTCTTGTCATCGAAAGAACGCCCATCTAGTAGCATTTGAGACGGTTCACGAGTGGGACTTGGTCAACCGGTATATCTTTAAAAAAAAAATAGAAAACCAATACTGGACCGATGGTACGAGTTTGGCCAATAAGGGAAAGCATTATTGGTTCTCAATAGGCGACCCAATAACGGCGAATATTTGGTATCCAGGGGAGCCAAATTTTCTAAACGGAAATGAGTATTGTGATGAGATGGGCTACCGGCGCACTGCAACCAGTTACTTAGTATTGAACGACAGAGCATGTGATAATTTGGTTAACTACATTTGTGAAAAAGATTATCCAAAGACAGCCTCTGTCGTTGTATGGTAATAAACACATTTTTAAAATAAAAGTTTATTTTATTTTAAGTTGTTTAAGAAAACCCTTTTCGGAATCTATTAGTTTTTTGTCTGTTTTTTTTAATTTTGTTTGGTGGAATAAAAAAATGTAAAAGCTAATATGGATTTCTTTTTAAAACTCAATTTGCTAAAATAAAGGATTAAGTAACAACATAAAATCGTTTGAATTGATCAATGAGCATTTTAGAAACAACAAATTAAGGTAATCTATTTTTCAACTTTAAATTTAAATGTTTGCTTACAATTACAAATTATTTTGTATAAAAATTAACACATCCACACATTTAAATTAATGAGGGTACTTTATTAAAGTTATGATTTAAAGTTTAGCTCTCAAAGCTTCGTAGAACTTGCTCCTGTATCTCCTGTACATGCTCCGCCAAAAGTCCATCCTTTCGCCATCCGGATTGGCGCACATCTTCAGCTCCCGGTCGATGAGTAGGCAGTCCAGTTGGAAGGGTTTGTCAGCCTGGGGTTTCTGGATCGGAGTCCAACTTTCCGATGGCTTGCCATCGCGAGCGAAACTCGCCCACATCTTACAAATTCGTTCCGTAACCAGCAGGTCATCCTCCCTCATCTCGGCGTCGTCTCCCGCCATTTGGAAAATATAGCAAATGTCATCCGCATGGGCCACTCCACGCAAATCCTCGTTCTGGAAGATTTTCTTGTACATATTCCGACCGCCCACGTAGTCCAAGCGATAGAAGTACAGCGGCGATTGCGTCTGGCAGCTGGCGTGGATCTCCGCCGCGTGCTGTAGGTCCATGCTGAAGTGGTAATCGGTGAACAGATCCACTAGGTTGTCCAGATTCTCCCTGGTCAGCGGCTGGCCGTTGAAGTAGAAGGCTCGTATGTCGGAAGCAGCTTCCTGGGCCACCGGAGACTGCGGATCCAGCACCAGATTGCGGGGAACCATTCTGGCTAGATCATCCTCGTAGGCCTCCAGTTTCTGCTTGGCCTTTACTACCATGGCCAGTCCCTCGGCCGAGTTGTAGCCCATCATCACAGGCATTCCTGCGAGAGAGTCCTTTTTGCACATCAGCTCCAAGACGTTCTGGTCAATGAAGCTGTCCGGACTGCTGCTATCCTCCACCACTGGCTTGAAGGCGAATGGCAAGTGGCGTCGCCGCTCATCGGATGTGAGGACTTTCATGGTGTTGGCCAAAATGCCAGTGGGGGTGACCTTCTCCGACTGCAGGAAGGCCAGGAGTGCTTTGGTGTCGCTGCCAAAATCACCGCCACCCAGTAGCTTGGCCAGGTGGCGGGTCTTGACAGCCGCCTCGTTCTGGAACACCCACTCCATGTTGCCCGTTCCACTCTGCATAATGGCCTTGTGGAACAGTCGGTTGGCATGGCGGGCATAAGTGTGCAGATGCACTGAAGCAGCGCCCGCACTCTCACCGAACAAGGTCACATTGTTGGGATCGCCATTGAAGCTGGCTATGTTCTCCTGCACCCACTGGAGGGCCAGACGCTGGTCCTTGAGCCCCATGTTCCCATGGATGCCCTCCTCGGGTAAGCTCAGGAATCCCAGGGCTCCCAGTCGGTAGTTTAATGTGACCACAATGACATCCTGCTCCATGAGCTTGGCGGGAAAGTGGCTAAAAGGGATTATATTGTTATATTAGATTTCATTTTCAAATGGAAGTCAAAGAAACCCACAAGTCACTGTTGCCATTGCCGAAGAAGAAGCCTCCTCCATGAATCCAGACCATGACGGGCAGCGGAGAAAGAGAGTTCCTCGTTCTGGCTCCGTTGGGTGCATAGACATTGAGGAAGAGGCAGTTCTCGGAGCCAGCCACCTCCAGGGTGAAGGGATCTCGCTGGTGGGACACATTCCGCTCCTTGCTGCAGTCCAGTTCCTGCTCCACAAATCGTTGCAGTGGCCGGGGGCTCTGGATTTCGAGTTTAGGCAATGGATTACAAGGCAATCCCTAATGTTCCGGCTTAACTCACCCGGAAACGCAGCTCTCCCACAGGAGGTTCCGCATAGGGAACACCCAGGAAACTGTTGAACTCCAATCCATTCGCCAACTTCTTTTTTTGGCCCACCACAACGCCTTGTTTCACGGGCACTTTCACCTGGAAAGTTGGCAGTTTAAATAAATATACTGAGGATTAGAATTAACTCACCTTCATGCTGCTGCAGAGCCTGGTAAAAATGAATCTGCCGCCAGAGCGAAGCATGGCGAAGTTAGTTATCCGCCCGTTGAGATTTCATAAACAATCTAATCGCAGGCAATTATTCGGCAATCACAAAACCTGAAACCGCTGAACTTTGCTCGTGAAAAACAGCTGACTGTGCTTAACCCTTCGATGGTGCGGTGGGTTGTCTGGACTAAGTCACTTACTTTTACTGTAAACAGTATAAATAATTTTTTTAAATTACAAACTCAAATAGTCCGTTTAAATATTTTGTAAAAACATAGACATAAAAAAAATATTTTCTGATGATTTAAAGTACTTTTTGAGATAATAGCAAGTTTTCTTTACTTTTTCTTTTCTTTATTTTAAACTAAAATATAGCAGTAATAAAAAATGTATTTTGCAAACATAAAAAACATAAACATAAAAAAAATAATTTTCTTAAGATTTAAAGTACTTTTTGAGATAATAGCAAGTTTTCTTTTCTACCTCAATTCAATTTAATTTTTTTGTAACTATTTTAAACTAAAATGTAGCAGTAATAAAAAATGTATTTTTACTAAACTTAGAATGAATTTTAATGTTTAAGTACATTACAAATTTTCCAAACATTTTTAATATCCAATTTAAAATAAAAGGAAAAATTATAGACGTTAATTGGAAAATTTAGTTCATGAAAATGCAGTGCATTATTCATTATTCCATTAGTAGAAGTCATTGGCTTTATAAGAAAAGTACCGAAGCAACGAATTAACTTGTTCTTAAATCCACCATTCCATGATAAAAACACTGTCGATTTTACACATTTAAAGTTACATTTAAAATGTTTCTAAGTTTTATTTGACTAGTTCCATTGCATAAACGTTAATACAAGTTCATTTATGGGTTTTCAATTTTCTTTTCGAGTTTTTCTCTTGTGTTTTCAATGAACTCTTGTCCGTAATTTGGCCAGCGCCCGGCGATCGAGCTGGCAGTTTGGGATTGGGGAAATTGGTGTTTTAGTCAGAAGGACCCTTGGAAGGGGCCCGACTTGAAAAAGGTTTGAGCTTTCTCCACCCCCAAACAGGATGGCCAACTCATCGAGGGACGTGGCCGAACGTCGCGAGCTCTGTAAAGTTGCGCTTCTTTATGGTAAGGTATTGTTTTGGTAAGGTAAGGTAGGGTAGGGTATAATAATTGTTAATTAACTTTAGTTTAAGCATAGTTCACACCAAAAGTCGGAAACATTTACACTTATGTACACATTTAACACACATACATCCAACACTTAATAAACATTTATATATATATATAGAATATGTAGTAATAGTAATATTTAGCAAACATCGAGAGCATCATCTCGTCAATCCCCTACGGAGAATGCCATCTTATTTAACTTCTTCGAGACTCTTTTAGCCATGGTTTCTTGTTTCACTTGTTGCTTGTCCGTTGTGGTTGCGTTCATTAAAATAATGGTCACAAAAACTGTGATTACAAATAGTAAATTGGTGTTTTGTTCTTCATCTCCTTCCTTTCGTCGTCAAAAAGTGGTTGATCTCCTTAAAATCGCCTCAAAGCCAATGTGCGTTTCAGATAGAGGCAAATAGCGCGATGGATTAGCTCGTACTGCTCCGAGTTCTGGACCATTCCGCCCCGCTGCAGGCGGAGATTGCACACGATGCCCAGCACGTCCACGAAAATGTCCGGCATCTTGGGCAGGCGGTCGAAGGATGGGGGCGTTTCAACCGCATCCACCTCTGCCTCCACCTCCGCCTCAGCCTCCTGGTGATCCAAAATATGCCTGATGTGCCGGATGGTGTTGCAGGTGAAGCTGCTGTCGCTGTCCGTGGGACACTGGGACTCCTCCACCGCACTGCTGGTCAGCGATTTGGTGAGCATTCCTGTCAGCGAGTAGGCCAACGATTGGCGCAACTGACGCACTGCATTCAGGATGGCCGTGAAGCAACCGGTGCGCCCGATTCCAGCCGAGCAGTGGATCACGGGAAGCGGCTGGACGGCATTGAAAATGTCCTGCTGATAGATCTCCAGCCGCTGAGCCGCCAGGTGGGCATTCCGCTCGCTCTTACTCTCATCGTAGTTGTCGAACTCCGACTCGCACTTCCCAAGGTTAAGGACATGCAGGCAGGTGTCCAGCAGCGTGTTGATGTCCCGCGGCGAATGGTGATCCGGCCAATCCGGATACCAGTAGTGGTAGCAGCAGATCTTCTGCAGGTGGTAGCTAGCACTCTGCGGCACACGGATGCAGTAGAGCACCACCAGCTTTCTTACCGAGTAACCGTTCCGTCGCACAATGCCCACGTTCTTGACCAGGAAGAAGCTTCCCTGGGCGGGCAGAGCCTCCAGCAGATCGCCCTCCAGCGTCACCTTCACCGACTCCACGCCGATGTGCCGGCCACTCAGCTCATAGTCGATCACCTCCGAGGAAGCGGAAGCGGTAGCCCCCACAGTGTCCGGCACAAAGGTGGGCGTCAAATGCCGATCAAAGTACTCCCGGGCCGCCTCGCTCAGCTGAAACACCTCGCACTTGGCGGCCACCGCAAAGATCTCGTTCAGATCGATGGGGAAATAGACGGCGCACTTCTGGCGATTCGCCTCCGTGAAGTTGGTGAGCATGACGATCTTTTGGAAGTACTGCTGCAGGATCTGCGCCCGGTCCATGTGCGGACTGCTGCTGCTCCCGCCATCCACGCAGCGTCGTATGTAGCGCTGCGTATTCTGGTAGATCATCAGCCAGAACTCAAAGATGGTATTCGGCAGCGGTCCCTGCGTGGCCACATAGCACTTGGACACGTAGTCGGGTCCCTGGAATAGAAGTTTTACATGAATTATATCGAATTTTATAAGCATGGATTTACTTTCGAAAGATCTATCTCTTCGCTATCGGTTTGCATTTTCTAACCTTGATGTAATTGGCATTGATGTAGGGCATGTCCTCGCTGGCGGTCACCGAGCAGGTGCGCTTCACCTCCTCCTGCAGATTGATCAGCTCGCTGGACTCGGTTTCGAGCAGCACGCGGGAGTGCTCGTTCGGCAGGATCGTCTTGTAGCGATTCTTCGTCTGCGAGCCAAAGACCATGGGCTTCTCCTGGTGGTTGAGCGGCAGGTCCCAGAACTCCTTGTGCAGATCGCGAAAGATGCGTTTCTGCTCGGCTTCCTCCAGATCCGGTATCGATTGCACGATCCTCTTAACCACCGCCTGGTAGCAGGCGAGCAACTCACTGTCCTCCGAGCTCGGTGGAACTAGATCAGTGGGCGTGTCCAAGTCCCGTGCATTGGAGCCCAGCACTGGGGGCTGGTCGATGAGGTTCCTGTTGCTCTGGTAGCTGTGATCAAACACATGGTTCAGCCGAATCAAATCGAACTGATTGAGCGGATTGGAGGCACTCTGAAGCATCTGTATGCTGGCCAGGTAGATCTTGAACTCCTCGCTGGTCGTCTGCGGCGACAGAGGTCGCGTCATTATGTTGCGCACGGTGCCAGCGCAGGTGCACGTGGCCCCAATGCCCTGATCCGCGCTGGCCGACTCCACTTGCGGATTGGGCTGCAGGTCCGAGGCGGACCCAAAGCACACCTGGCCGAAGAACTTCTGGTTGTTGGCCTTGCTGCTGTTCAGGTTCTCGGTGCTGAAGAACTTGCGCTGATGCGGAGCTTGGTTGGCGGCGGCACAGCTGCAGACCGTGACTTTCGGCTGCCCCAAGTCCTGGACCTGGATTTCGGTACTCGCTCCACCCACCACCAACATGCCGCCCATGTTGAGGGTGAGGCTCTGATTGGAGCCGCGACGCTCGAGCAATCCTCGCTTCGGAGTGGGCACATTGGATCCCGATCCCGAACCCGAGCCCGTGGAATTGGTGCGCATGTTAAGGCGACTGTACTTTTCGGCGCTCAGCATTGCCTGCTGCTGCAGCTGGTGCATGGAGTTCAGGTCGCCGCACGAGGTGGTGGTGTGACCCGTCTTCAGGGTGATGCTGTGGTTCGATCCCCGCCTCCTGAACAGCCCCTGTCGACTGCCCTGGCTGCCGGCCAGCAGATGCGTCTGCTGCTGGTGCTGCTGCTCCGACCTGACCTGGTTGGCATTGCCTGCGTCCAAATTGCAGCTGGACTTGGAGTTGAGTATGGAGCCCAGGCTGTAGTTGGACAGGCTGAGGCCGCTGTTCATCAGATTGCCGCACGAGTTGTGCAGGTTGAGCGTTAAACTGTGAATGGATCCCCGCCGCTGGAGGAGATTCATCGAAGATGTGGACACTGTGGCCTTGGCCTGCAGCGCTGGCATCGGCAGGTCCATGGACTTTTGCTTGAAAGGCGATTCCTTGGAACCGCCGCCCGAGGGCGAAAACTCCATCAGGGTGATGCACTCGGGCAGCGTCTTCAGGTTCGTGCTGGACGAATGCAGCAGCTGATTGTGCTTGTGGGCGCTCCTCGGCGCCAAACTGGCGCCCATTCCGAACTTGGAGCCGCCGTCCACGCTGCAGGCGGACTTCAGCTCGCTGTCGCCCAAACTGGGGGTCAGACTGGCGTCCGAGTCCAGGGAGCTTTGGGCCGTGGTGCTGCAGTGCGGCGGCGGCACCTGATATGGGTTCTGCTTGCGGTGGTACATCAGCCAGTCAGTGGTGTTGATCCCAGGGGACTTGCGGCGCGGAGTGCGCCGCTGGCTGGCCAGACTCAGGTGGCTGTCCAGACGGGAGAGCGAGGTCGAGTGGATTCCGGAAGCGGGCTGCTGGAGATGGTGATGGTGGATGACACTCGCCGATGGTTTCGCCTGGCCCGACTCCATGTCGTCGCAGCTGCCGTGAGATTCGGTTATGTTGTGCACCACAATCGACAGTTCCGACTCATTGGCCGCCGAGTCCAGCGAACGGGCCTTCTCCTTGGTGCTCTTGATGGTCGGCGTCTTTGGCTTGGGCAACGGCGAGGCCTGGCCCGAGCTCTTGATGGGCACGTCCGTGATGCGAATGGTGAGATTGTTCTTGTTCTTGCGGTTCTTTCGACCCTCCGACTTCTGCTGCTGCTGCTGCTGCTCTGGCGGTTCGGCCAGCGCGGGGCTGCGATCCCGTCGAGGAGCCTCCTCCAAACTGGCCGTATCCATGGGCGCCACCTGCACGACATGATCGATTTCCGGGAAGCGAAAAAAGTTGCCATTCTTGTAGCCAGCCGAGTTGATGATGTTCAGTGGCGAGCCGGACACGTTCAGGTTGTTGATGGAGGATAGCAGTTTCGGGGAGTAGCTAAGGCGACTGGCCTCCAGACCCGGTGTCGTGGAGGATTCATCCCTGAACAGGATGGTGGGTGAGTTGTGCTCGCTCCGCGACAAGTACATGCTGTTCTCCACGTCACGACCGGCCTCGTCGGAGCCGCCCTTGGGGATGGTGTTCTCCTTGTCGGTGCCACGCCCACCGCCCCGCTCCTCGCCAGCGGAGCTGTTGATGTGCGGCGGGCAGGATCGGCGGTCGTACAGCGAGAACCTCTTGAACTTGCGGCTTAAAGTGGGAGACTGCGAGCTGGGTGGATGGTGGACATGGGCCGCTTGGTGGGGACTGGCAATGGTGAACTGCCGTGGGGTGAAGGCCTCCTCCTCCTCCTGATCCTCCTGCTCTGCCGACGACTCGGGAATGCCCGGAACCCCGCCCTCCGCTGTGGGCGAGGGGAACTCGAAGGATGTCTGCAGGAACTCGAGGGGCGTGTAGTAGGGCGTGCTCTTGTTGCTCTCCGCATCCTCGCCAGCTTCCAGTGGGGTGTACGGGGTGTAGGGGGTGTAGGGGGAGGAGGAGGAGTCGTTCGCGGGGGGCGGGGGTCTGTGGGTAGGGGGGGTACTCAATGGGTGCATTCTCCTTGTTGTTGTTTCGTAGCTTGTCCATGATACACACACACAATTGCCAACGCGGGGCGATCGCGGCGCAGTCGCTCCGCCCGTTTAGTGTCTTGGCCTCACTCGATCGGCATTATCTCGCCCGCACAGTTAGCACTTCGGAAAATTCCACAAATCATGGGAAAGCAGCGTTTTCTTTTCACAACATTTTCTTTAGAGCGGGTCTCACTTGCGATAGTATCGACATATCGAATATTTGTGCTTGCGAAACACAATCATGGTTTTCGGTTTCGATAGTAATCGATAACTTTATAGTTTCATTCAATTTAAAAACAAAAAACAAATTTTAAGTTAAAACCTTCTTCAACAAATAGCTTATCTTAATATTGTTCACGGAAATACGTACAAAAATGTAAAATGATTCCATACTACCGAATGAGTTCAGCAAACGATTTGAACTTGACAGTTAACGATGTTTTTTCAGTGTGACCGCGTTGTTCGCGTTTAAATTTCTGAAGAACCAAATAAGTTAAGGTGGAAAACTTGGACGTTTAATGTAGTGTCCTTGCTAAAAACAGTGAGTACAGTGATTTGCAGAGATTTTATTTTAAATTATATCTTCAACATTTATAAAGAGATGTTTTGCAAATTTAAAAGCCCGCTCTCGATCTTAAATGAAAAATGTTCTTTCTAATTCCAGCCGACAAATAGATTTTCTTATTGATTTGACAATTAATTACCCTCATCAAATCATTTTTAATTATCAAAATTGTTATTTTTAATTTATATCTTAAGAGAATTGATTATTGTGTACTGCCTTTTAAGTAATTTATAATCTTGGCACTCAAAATAATGACTGCAACTAAAAACTAATATTGTTAAGATTCACTTTTGCCCCAGGAAAATTAAATAATTAAAGTTTTAATTATCCCAACCAACAATCTTAAAATATAAGTCTAACAATGAACTTGAAAGTAAGCTGTATAACTTTTTTGACCTCGATTGTCTTTTGTTTAGCGTACCGCTCTAAGGAATTTTGTAAGGGTCAATGTCGTCGCTGGGACGACAGTTAAAAAACGTGTCTATTCTTACCATGCTAACAATATACACTTCAATTTTAGCTAGTATAATACAAAAAAAACGTTAGCTCTTTGTAGAAAGTACTTCTTTATGTTTAATAATTCTAAAAACAATACAATTTAAAAAATAATATTGTTATTCTAAACATGCGGATGGAAAGTGCTTATAGTTTATAGAAAGCTTCGTAAAAATAAATCAAAAAACATTTTGTATAATTATAGTAATCAAAACAGTCAGGACTAAGAAATCAACGTAAAAAACGAAGTATTATTGAGAGCAACCGCTGTGAGGTCTTTCTGAGGCAGATTAGTCTAGTAGTCTCAAGCTTTAATTTCATACAATTTTCTCTACTCCTTTTTAAAAATCCATAACCTTATAGTATGTATTCCTTACTTTCGTGTACAAAAATGATTTGTGCAGGGTTAATGCATCGTAGACTGAGCCTGGGTCTTTCGCAAACGTGAGTAGCATCTTCCAACCTTCTACGTCCTTGTAATTCCCAAGCTGACATCCACCAAGGCTCGGTTTGATCCCCAAGAAACTTTATTCTGAGGAGAAGAAATCCCCAAATGTTTTTCTTTGGGGCGGTGGGCTGGGCAAGCTGCAAGGCGGTCTAAAGGAGGAGGAGTATTTCATATCGCGTACCCAGGAACTCATTGGCAAGATGCGGGACAAGAAGGACCTCGTGGACTACATTCCCAATTGGGATGAGTTTCAGAAGAGCCTGGATCACACCTCACTGGGCAACTCATCGTTCATGACCAAGCACAAGAATGTTCTCGAGGAAGCTTTTTTCCTAAATGAGGTGAGGAATATCTTGATTTTGTTACAAAAATTCTTATAAATTATATATTTATTTCCCAGACCGCAGATGACATTAAAGTATTACACGATCGTGCCCAAGAAAACCCAGAAGTCGGAGATAACACTGCCATCATATTGGAACTGAAATCAGATCAGCAAGACACTAAATAGTTATTTTTTTCTGTTAATTACTTAATTCGTTACTTTAGAGGCGTATCGGGGGGATCTTTTTCCAAATGGCAAACTGCACAATAAAATTGTTAGTTTCAAGTTAACACAGTATTAAAAATACTTTTCCAAAAATTAAATTAACAAAATTTAAATGAACATAGTTTGTTAATTTTGCCGCCAGTTGGCAGTCGTGATTTCAGGGGCGTAGAAATGAAATTGGCATTTTATTTGTAATGTAGTTTGTATAAAATGCAATTTAAATATATGTATAAGGGCTTCATTAAGTTATTTTTTATTTTACAACAGATAATAACATCTTTTGTATTATTCTATTTCTAAATCATTGCGACCCCACTGAGTATTTTTAGCTACGCTCTTGTCGGATTCTCAGCAGTTTGTTTTCACAAGTCGGCGAAATCAGTGCGACAAATCACCCCTTATATATAGCTTAACTATACTATATAAATCGGTTCTATAAAAGACAAACATGTTTACAGTGCGCCGTCTCAGTCAGCGTTTGTATCCGAAGCAAATTCGGTAAGTTTCACAAACTGGAGCAAAATTGCATAAGAATTCTAGAACTATTTTCAACACTGCATTGCAGACACTTGAAAATGTCACAGGTCGGTGAACTTGGAAGTGGGGCAGGGAAGGGAGGTGGTGGTGGTGGATCCATCCGCGAGGCTGGAGGTTCTTTTGGCAAAATGGAGGCTGCCCGCGAGGAGGAGTTCTTCTACAAGCAGGTGGGTTTTACATATAAGGTTCTTATAAAGTTCCAGATCTTTATTGCACTTCTTCCGTAGCAAAAGGAGCAGCTGAAGAATCTGAAGACCAAGACGGAACCCAAGGCTCCTGAGGCACCCAAGAAGTGAATAACATAATGAGTTTTAAAATATTATAATATTTATGATATAAATTATCACATAATTATGTTGTCTGAAATGTATTTACTGAAAACGTTACTACAAATATACTTTATGCATTAAGTGGGTTAAATATAACATAACCTTTAAATTAAAAAAAGTTTTTAAACAGCTGTAAGTATAGCATTTTGTGTTTTAAGGTAAAATCATAAATCGATGGGAAACAAACATATACTTCTTAAAAATGAACCAAATATTTGGTTGAGATAAAAACTCGAAAAAACAAAACCTAGTTATTAAATTAAAACATAACTCCCATCCCTGAACAGCTGATCGGTTCTCTGGTTATGCATTGGAAATCTTACCTTCTTGGTGCAGACTGTTCCCCCACCATTTGTTTACGAACACAGCAAAGAGGAAGCACCGATTGATAACAGTTGAGCAGTGTAACTGATAAGAGAGCCGGAGACGAGACCTACAGATGCCCGGGCTAGAAAGCCAGATGGAAACAGTTCTCACCGGTTCGCGCGAGTGTGCAGTGCAAGATCCAGCATCGGGAATGGCGGCTACTATCCAAAACACCCTCAAAGTGGCGCTGAGGAAGCGCATGAAGGATGCCCTCAAAAACCTGGACACGGAGGCCATTGCCCGGCAATCTCGAGCAGTCACGGCCAAGGCAAGGTCAAACAAGGGCTAAGGGTTATCACTAATCCGTTCGTTCCATTTGCATCAGGTGCTGCAAAGTGAGTTTTTTCGACAGGCAACGCGGGTGAGTATCTACCTGAGCACAGCCTCGGAAGTGGACACCACGGCGCTGCTCTGCGAGATGTTCCGGCTGGAGAAGATGGTCTTCGTGCCCACCTACGAGGGCACCAAGATGAAGATGGTCCGATTGCGGGGCATGGACGAGTACGAGAGCCTTCCGCTGACCAAGTGGAACATCAAGCAGCCGGACTTCAAGGAGGCTCGTGAAGATGCCATGACCAATGGTGGGTTGTATTGACTTCCTTAGACCTCCTCCCTTTGCTGAACAGAGATTTCGCAACTGCAGGACACGGCATCGATCTCTTCATTGTGCCCGGGGTGGCCTTCACCCGCACTGGAGCTCGCATGGGCCATGGCATGGGCTACTACGACAAGTTCCTGAAGCAGCACGCGGACAAGTATCCGCACAAGAAGATCTCCCTGATGGCACTGGCCCTCAACGAGCAGATCGTCAGCAACGAGGAGCTGCCCATGGAGACGCACGATGTCCGTTTGCACAGTGTAATTACAGAAAACTAACTTTAAGCTTATATACAAATTGGGGACATACAGTGAGCTAATACAACATCTGCACATGTTTTTCTGAGTAATGTAGTTAAACTGCTTAACTATCAACCAACTGGTTGGTTTGTATACCTATGGAAACTGAAATTGGCGGCCAGTCTGTTCCTCCTACCTCAAGTAGGATGGTCTGGAGCGCAGGCCACGCCCACGCGATCTTCCACTGTAGTGGGGCGAGGAATAGTGAGAGTCGCTGCTATTGAAATGCGAGTCCGAGCCCGACCGATAGGATCCGGCGGACTCTGCCCAGCTGGAGGGCGAACCAATGCGCATCAGTTTCTTTTGCCTGTTAAAATGAAAGAAATTTTGCTTTGCAATCAGTCGTTAAATAGATACAACAACGCAACCCACCTAAAAGCAGCTGCTGCCGAAATGCGGGATCCCCGATTGCGTCCCACTCTGGAGCCTCTAAGCATGGAGGGAATCTTGTTGTAGCCTGTGGGTCCTGTAGGCTGGGCGCCACAAGTTTCCAGGGCCAGAAAGTCATCGACATGTAGGGAGGGCGGTCTTGAAGTGTTGGGTGGACGCGAGCGGAAGAGATCGCCCCTGGAAGGTGGAGGACGAGCGAAACCACGGCCCCTCACCGACGAGACGAACATCTTCTTCTCTGGACGCCCAGTGGCTGGCTCCACTTCCACCCGCCGGGTGCGGAAGCACGGTGCCGTTGGCGTCATTTCACGATTTGATTGCGGTGAGCCGGATAAGTTCATTACCCGCTTGCTATCGCCAGCCACATTCAAGTCCGGATTGAGACACACGTTGGCCAAATCGGTGAGATCGCAGGCAATACGCTCGTAGATGGGCTCGTTCATGTCCTCAATCAGTTCGATGGGCAACGGTTCCAGCCAGTAGCGAGCCGTGAGCTGGGCATTTTCGGCCGTGGCACAGAATCTGGTGAAGATCGGCCGCGCCTCGTACTGTGTGACTATGCCCTCGGCCTGTGGCAGATATGGTTCCACGGTCAGGGATCCACTGCAGCTGGCGGCTGAGAGATTACCCTCTCCCTCACCCTCAGTTGGCGTTTCAGTGCTGGTTCCTGCCATGATCTCCTGCTTCGAGGCCTGCAGCAGAATAAGTTGCTTGAGGTCGCTCAGCGCCGCCTCATTGGCCACCGCCTTGTACTTCTCCATGACGGTGAGAATGCGACTAAGCACCGGTGGCTTGGCCAGCTCAATGTCCTGGAACTCCACCAGTTGGGCCAGCTCTGCGGCCCCCAGTTTCAGGGTGCGATGCGGCATGGCCGACATTGTGGGCGGCGGTTCGATTTGGGTTAGCGAACGCAGCAGCAGGATTAGAGACTCTATGTTGGCGTTGTACTCCACCGTCTCGTTGTGCAGGATTACGCGCTCCATCCACGCCTGGAACTCGGTGATCTTCTGCTTGAGCAACTGCGCCAGGTGATAGAAGGTGAAGCTGCCGATTAAGATTACATTATTTTCTCATTCTTTAAATCTTTTAAAATCTAAACTTACTCATGCTCTGTGAGAATGACCAAATTGCGCACCGCCAGAATGGATATGCCGTGGGTGACCTCCACACTGGTCAAGTTACTGAAGACAGCATCGATAATCCGGGGAATCAGTTCCTTGGGCGGCAGAGCCGCAGAAAGATTGAGCGCTGGCGAGGCCGTAGACTTGTGCGAGATGAGCGAGATTCCGGAGTCGAGGAAACTGTCCAAAATGCGGTGCACAGCCTCCTGGCAATTGGACACCACGTCGTTGAATTCATTCAGTGCGAGTAGCGACTGGAAAAGTTCCCAGAACTTGCCCGACAGTATGGACAGCATGGAACTCTTCAAGGGTGCAAAGGCGCACAAACGCGTGGAGAAACGGAGCAGTCGTTCCAAGTTGGTGGTGGGAATACAGTTGGAGGTCTGATATTCATTGCACAGCAGTTCCGTGATGGTCTTGGCGATCAGCAGCGTCATGTTGGGCGCCAGATCCGACAGCTGCATGCAGACGCGCTGCAGCAGCTCCGAAAGCTGAGGGAAACTGGACGGAGCCAGTGCCTCCACCAGCTTGGCAATCTGTCCGCTCTGGGGATGCAGGTGGGCTGACCACAGTTTCCGCTCGGTGATGAGCCGCTGCTTGTGCTGCTGCTGCAGTTGGTCGCAAAGTGGCTGCGGCATCGGCAGCGGGAGAGGCAGCAGCTCCGCGAGAAGTTTGAGTCCTGTTTAAAAGGTTTATGAAACATATAAGATGAAGGAAAATCTAGTTTCCGAGATGAGCTTACCTGGAATGAAGTGTGCTGGCCCATCGATATTTTTAAGCACCTCCCTGATCATCAGCGTCCAGAGGGACTTGTGCAGCGACTCCTCGTCCTGTTCATTGGGTTGAGTATAAGCTAGCAGTGTCTGGACCACCTCCATCTTGCACTGCTCCACCTCGAGACCCGCCTGACAGCGCGTGGGATAGTAGTAGAGCAGGTAGTACACCTTTACCAGGTGGTCGATGGCAGTGAGATCCTTGTAGGTGCCATCTCTGCACAGGATCGCGTAGGAGAGCAGCTCGCGGAGGATCTGGAGTGTGGGCAGCATTATCTGGCAGCAGTGCACTCCTTGGATGGTCATCAGGGCTGGAGCGTGGGCACCAGGCTGCTCGAAGTAGGCACACAATCGCTCCATGATCTGGATGCAAAGCTGGACACCATCCGCCGCATACAACTGCAGGGCCACGAAGCGATGTTTCAGCTCCTCGGTCACGGGGGGAGCCTTTTGACCGGCAACCGGCTTACTGATCGAAAGGTAACGCAAAATCCGCAGGGCCATAATTAAGTCTCCCGGGAACGTGGTCAGGTAGTCCAGAGAGCGGCCTATCACCTCCACCAGCGGCATGATGTCATCATAGACGAACACGTTAATGGCCTCGAGGGGCTTCATGTACACGTACATCTCCTGCAACACCGCCGACACCGAGGGCTCAAAGGTCTCGTGGTTCTTGGCCAGCTCCAGGATCACTCCACCATGCTCGATTAGGTAGTCCAACTGCTCGCAATAGCGGACACAGGCGTCCACCATATCGACGGCATAGCTCAGCACCGGGCTCTTGTACTTTGTGCCCGGGGAACTGAGCTGGCGTTGCGTCTGCAGGCGCTGCTCCTTCTTGATCAGATCCATGAAGATCTTGAGGTTGTTATTGAGACCCAGCACCTCCACGGTGTGCTGGCGTCCAGCGGGGTCGCAGGTCTGCGAGTAAATGGCATGCATATGCGTGGCCAACTTGACGGCATCGTATTCGGGAGCAGCGGCTGCATAGACAATGGCGTCCAGGTGGTAACGTGTCTGCACCTTGTACGACATTTCGATGCCCAGTCTGGCCAGGCGTGGCAGCACTGGCCGAAGGATTGGCCTGGGTCGCATTTGCGGAACAGGTGCGGCAGCTGGAACCGCAACCGAAACCGGAACCGTGGCAGGAGTAGGCTTTAGCTCCTCACCTGGAGTAGGTAAACTTGGGTTCTCTCCGCCTGCAAGCACCGATTCGTTAGTGACCTCCATTGGCTTGTCCTCGGGTTCTAACTTTTCCGGCTTGGCCTCCTTTTCCTCTGGATTTCTAGGCACCTCATCCAAACCGAGCAGAATAGCAACAATCGTCTGCGTAACAGGAAAGGCGTCATCCACAAAGTAATCAATGCCTACGTGGGACCGGAGCAGGGTGTGCATCAAGTCCAGCATACTCAGATAGGTGGTGGCCGGCAGTTCCTTGCAGTTTCCCAACATTACCAGCAACGATTCCGCCAAAGAGTGCTGTCCCAAGTAGGACTGCAGGGCATTTGCGAAGCCGCGTTGCGCCGTGGGATCGGTGACCACTTCGAACTTCTTGGACACAGGCAGAAAGCGTCGCGGTTGCAGGTAGCTCAGCTGGCTGGAAAACAATGCGTCCATCAGCATTTCAAAGGCGAACTCTATTTGCTGACAAAGTATCACGGTCTCCTCCATCTGGTCCAGATTGCCAGGGATCAATATCCTGTCCACGAAGAGCCGTCGGCACAAGATCTGTATACTCTCCAGGCCCTCCCACAAATGCAGTTTCTTAATGATCGCCTGCAGGGCGAATTTGGTCCTCGTCAATTTGGCCTCCTTGATGGACTCTACAATCATCTGGTAGCCATTGTTTTTCGAGGCCATAAAGTGCTCGATACCCATTCGGGTGTCCAGCAGGGCGTAAACCGCTTTGAGAAGCTGCAGCTTAATGGACAGGGCCATGTATGGTTCGTGATACAGCCGGAACACTGCCTCGAATGTGTCAAATTGATGCTCTTTTAGCAAGTGCTGGAAGAGGTCCTCACTGCTGCCGAGCAGCTCGGCCATTCGGGCGCCCAGCTTGATGTGCCGGATCTTGAAAGCTGGCTGGGGTTGCATGCAGGCAGCCTGGAAACTCAGGGCAATCTGAAGCACGTTGGCAGCCTGGCGCAAATGTACTTCATCGTTTCCAAAGAACTGCTGCAGCACAAAGTTCCTTCTCTTGAAGTGCTGGGCCAAGTAGCCCAATTGGTTGTTCAGTTGCTCGCCCAAGTACACGAATTGCTCCCTTTCGTCCACACTTGCGCCATGCTCCTCGCTGAAGGCAGTCACGTTCTCGCAGCGGGTTTGCAGGACCAGCTTCTTGAAGAGCAGCTTTAGGGTTTCCAACTCCTTGCTGAAGTGGGCAGCCATATCCCCTTCGTAGACCAACAGTGGTTTCTGCCAGGGCTCGAAAGCATCGATGGCCGGCGGCGCAGCGGCCGCCGCGGCCTCCAGTTCCCGCTCGTACTCTGCAATGGCAGCCGCATCCACTGCATCGTCCTCCTCGTCGTCCCCTATTATTTCGTCGTCACTGAGAATGGGCTCGAACTGCTCCTGTGGCGTACATGAACGATCCTCGTCGTCCCGATCGCGCTCACCACGATGCAGCGACTCCGAGGAGTGTCTATAGTGCGAGGACTGCATCTTGTAGTGGGAGCGCGAGTCGTCGTCTTCGTAGTCCATCGTATCGGGGGAACGTGGTCGCGTGGGTGAGTCAATTGAAGCCGGCGGTGTCCGGGGCCACTTGTGCTCGTCCACATCGGAGCGAGATCTCTCCGACCGCTTGCGACGCGACCGATGGCTGGAGTATTCCGGCGAACGTGACCAATCCCTGGAGCCCTTGTCGCGTGAACTGAATTAAAAGGCCTGTATGTATTGGAATCTTTTAAAGCGGGTCGGTTCGATTTCTACTCACCATCTGATGTACTCCCGGTCGTTGCTCTCCGAGTGCGTGTGTGATCTTCTAGGCGGCGGAGGCGGCGAGTGGTCCGTGGAGTGCGTGGAACGCCTCAGGCGGCGCATCTCGCGCTGCTCCTGCTCCTCTGCGTGCTGGTGGTAGTGCTCCCGCGACAGCCCGTACTCCATGTCCTCCGGGTCGTAGTCGCTGACGTTGCCCTTGTGGGCGACCAGCATTTCAGCCTGCATCGGCTCCTGCCACTCGTCCTTCAGCGCATCCTCCGGCAAGAGCACCTCGCCACTCAGGTTACTAATCTCCGGGCCCACAGGCTCGCAGGGCAGCGTCGGACTGGCAATGGGCTCGGTCACCGAGTTGGTGAAGATGCCGTATATGGCCAGGGTGATGGTGCTGTACCAGCCGCGCAGCACCAATCCGTCCGTTACGATCTTCTCCTGCGAGCAATCCAGGTGGATGCAGTCGTTCTGGTTGTACCGCAGCAGGCCGAGATTCTCGAAGGCCGACGCAGCCGGCATTCCCAGGTCGTTGACGAAGAACTCCAGATCGAACTTGGATGGATTTGTGGCTCCCAGGCGAACGCCGCCGGGAAAGTCCGCCTGCACACGGGCGCCCAGGGGAATGATCCGCACCTGGGTGATGAAGACCGGCTTGGGAAACTGTACCAAATCCAAATTGATGTCCTGCGAAAAAAAGAGTGCAGGTCAGAGACTGCTCCTCGTAGACTCTTTGCTGCCACTTACTGTCACTTCCTCGTGCGAGAAGGTGTCGAAAAATAGCAGCTCGGACCCATCGTCGACCTCGGCCATGTTTGCAGTTTTTATTTGTGCTTAAATCAACGGAATCCAGCAGTTTTTATTTATTTTTAAGAAAAATAATCGTCAAATGCGAACGCAGTGTTACCAACTTTCGGGCAGTAAAAAATACCGATATCTTTTGTACAAGTCGACACCTGTAAATTTATCGATCTTATTCGTAGTCTTGGCGGCTGAATTTAAAAAACCAAACGATAAAAATTAAAAACTAAACTCAAATATTAATATTAACCCTTGCAGAGCTTATTTTATTAAAATCTTCCGACTTTAAAATATAGAACAACCATCAAAACATAAAAAAAAAAATTAACTTTTCTATTTTTTAATTTTGGAAACAACAAATTTGTGAACATTTTAATGGTTTAGTAATACAGCTGCCAAAGGAACAATCGAATAGTTGAGCTAAAAATTATCATAGCTTTTAAGTTTTTAAACATATACGCGTACAAATCCAAATTTAAATGTTTTAAGGAATATTATATTTTTGTAACATCTGCAAGGGTGTATAAACTTCGGTTTTGCGAAGTTTGCTTTCTTTCTTGTTTTATAAATTAAATATAAGCATAATAAAATATGTATCAATATGGAAAAATATTGTTATTTTATAAATGGAATTTACCAAAAATTGCAAATTTATTACAAAACTTGTCAAGTGGCCTAGGCTATTACTTTTTTCATAGCAAATCATAATTTATTTTTATTTAATACTTTGCTTTAAGATGGTAGCTATGGTATACTGCAATTTGCTCAAAACCATTTGCGTACCCCTTGAATAGGACTAAAAAAGTTTTGTATTGGTAGTTAATTGCTTAAAATACAAAATTATATTACTATTCGTAATTATATAAAAACGAATCGTGTATATTTCATAATCGGCATGTTGAACTCTTAGGTCGAAGTCTTTATCAAGAAATGGCGAAAAATGTTATGTTATAAGTGATTCGCGCAACAGGCTGGGTTCTCATTCAGTACGTTTTCAATATCATGAAGGTCGACGTAGCGAAAATCGTGGTTCTATTCTGCCTTTTTATAGAGGTTGAAGACGGATCGGCTTATCTACTCGAACCGGAATGTGGAACAAAAAAAAAAAGCGATATAGGTCCCAAAATTAAAGGAGGTAAAGATGCAGACCCATTTTCGAATCCATGGATGGTTCGGTTGATCGTGGAGAGTCCGATTTGTGGTGGCTCACTCATTACCTGTAGTACGTATATTTATCTTATTATTGAATTGTTATTTTAGTTAAGTCAATAAATTCTGTATAAGTGCGGTACAAAATATCAATATCGCAGCTTAATATATTCATATACAATTCAAATTATTTATTTGTTCCAGGCTTTGTTCTGACGGCGGCGCACTGTGTATCCAACAATATTATGTATCAATGCTTATATTTGTTTTTTTGCATAGATATATTATTATTTCTCTTTTTAGGCGGGTTCGCTTGGGCGAATACGACACTATGAGTCCCGAGAATTCCTATGAAATTGAAGCCGACTTAAAAGTTGTTCACCAAGGTTTCAACTATGATAACTTTAAGTATGACATAGGATTGCTTCGGTTAAAAAGAGCGGTGCAGTTTTCAGGTAATTTAATGGGATAACAAATAGGAACCTTCTAAACAAAAAATCTTTTCACAAGACTATGTCAGACCGATTTGCCTCGCCGTCCACGAGACAATAAGACCCATTATACCATTTATGATCGCTGGTTGGGGCAAGAGTGAAAGCGGTCAAAGCAGCAATATTCTACAGACAGCCTATGTACATCTTATCAGTCAGTCAAAATGCAGCCAACACTATACCAGACACGTTGGTCAATCCCAATTATGTGCTTATGATCAGACAAGCGACGCATGTGCTGGAGATTCCGGCGGCCCGTTGAGCGCTGAGCTACTGTACAAGTATAGGAATCAGACTTTCCAGATCGGTATCGTCAGTTATGGTTCGGAGTTCTGTAATAGCGCAACTGTTTACACAAATGTATTCCACTATATGGACTGGATTTTGGAAGCTCTGAAAGAATATGGCCAGAGGCCAACAGTTCAAGAAATACGTTATTTGTAAACAAAAAACCAAAAGCAAAGCACAAAACAATTTTATTTAATAAAGCAGCAATAAACTTTTCAATTATTTTCATATTTAATAAATGCACAATATACACCCAAATCTGAGTAAAAAGAAACATTGACAGTTTACTTTGAATTTTAATTTAAAAACGAAAAAGGAAGGATTTATTACTCTGAATGTTTCGATTAAAGCTAATGGTATCGTCGTCCAATCCGATCAGTTCCATCTTATATGTTATCTGCTTAAGAAAGAAAACTTTTGTGAAAGTTTCATCCGTAAATCTTCAGAACTAAAAAGACTAGCTTGCGTATATAGCACATACTTTCAGTTGACACATTTAGCCTCTGTTATCTGAAAGAGTGAACAGAAATGTTAGTGATTTTATTATTTTGTCCACATCTTAGGGGATGCGATTTTGCAAATTTTAGCGTTTTAAAGTTTTTTGGGGTTCTGATTATGAAGTAGTTCAATTTAGCGCAAGTTTCGGTTTCGTTAATAAAACTTAATAAAACTGTCGTTTCCACTATCGGTAAATTCGAGTACAAATGGGACCAAAATCGACCCGAACCGGAAAACCGTTTTTACTATCGATAAGATCTGGAGAATACTCGATTTGAACCGGGAAACCTATCGCACATCTCTACCGCGAAGGTATTATTTGACGGTGCGGAAACGGTCACACTCAGCGAAAAACTTTCGTCGCGTAAAAAACAAGTAAAGTTCAACCGCGCCGCAATATTTCTGCATTAATTGTGTATAGGTATTATTTGCCAGTGTAGGGTATATTTTATGCTAACAATAAACAAAGAATGAGCTGAAAATATATGTGCTCTTATTGCGTATTGGCTGATTGAAAAGTTTAATGCACTCGGCAAAATGAAGGAAACCGCTTTACAGTTAACTTTAATCTTTTTGCTCTTTTAGAAAACTTTAATTTTTAACTTTTATCTTCTTTTGTTTTCTTTTAGTTTGTCAACTTAAAAAGAAATCAGAATGTTCGTCGTACGTCGTAGCGCATCCCGCCTGTACCCCGCTGGAATCCAGTGAGTTTTATACATATTTTATACCCTCATACCCAGTTAATTGGTTTAAAAATAATAAGAGAACTTAATACCTAGTAATTATTAGGTGTTATGCATGCCTCGCACTTCCATTTTCCATTTAATGTACATATGTACGATAAGATAAGCAACTTCGATCCCATCGAAATCGCTTTCACTTTGCGTGCGTGTGTATGTGCATTCTATGCTGACTTCACCTTCACTTAATTGTTGCGTAACTGCACAAAACCGAAAGAGAAGATTCTACAAGATTCGCTTTTCCCGCTCCACAGGCTGGCCAAGATGAGCGGCAGCCAGGTGGGCGACCTTGGCAGTGGCGCCGGCCGAGGAGGCGGTGGCGGCGGAGCCATCCGCGAGGCTGGCGGCGCTTTTGGCAAGCTGGAGGCTGCCCGCGAGGAGGAGTACTTCTACAAGAAGGTGAGTGAACCCAAAGACCAGCCCATTTCATCATTCATTAGCTTTATTGAGCAGCCGATTTAGTAGCACGGCCTGCCGCCGAGCAGCTCCTCAACCCCACACTTTTGAATGCGAAAGTTGATCTCTTTGAAATCCAGGCCCGCGCCAAAGGCTTTCTGCAGCCGATTCGACAGGACCCAGAGCTCCTCCTTGCCCTGGTGGTTCCGCACGATCTTTAGGCCGCTGGCGAACTGCAGACGCTGTTCGTCCTCCACCAGCATCACCAGATTCTGATGACGGTACGCAGTGCGGGTGTTCCAGGCCAAAATGCTAGCGGGCTGAACCAGGCCGCAGATCAAGAAACCGGACTCACTCATGGCCGTGCCCACGCACTGGCTTCCTCGCTTACCCAGCACCTGGAACTGATCCAGGGCGGCGCTCACGTCGTTCAGCCGCCAGTTGCTGCCATTGTTGACCACATCCAGCGGGATGGCCATCTGCCAGTCGCTGGACAGCGAGTGGAAGTACATCATCCGGCGACCTCCCAATCCGTGGGGTGTGAGTGTGGTCGAAACAGTGCCATCCCACAGCTGGAAGCTCTCACCGGCTATGGTGAACGTGCCAAAGTCCGGATGGGGATACGTGAACTTGTTCTCAATCCGCCACGACTTTTGGGCGGCCACGTCGTACACCACAATGCCATGCCCAATGGAGTCCGCCATGTACACGAATCCCACGTCGCAGTTTTGGGAATCCAGTTCCACGGTGGGCGTAACGAAACGACTCACGCCCTCCTTGTACAACCGCTTGGGCATCTTGTACTGATGTACAACCTTCCCGCTCTCCAAGTCAATGGCGTACAGCTGCGGCGGGCAGTACTGGATGAAGTCGATCTCGCCGCTGTCCAGGATCCACATCCGTCCGCATTCGTCTATCTGGGTTCGGTACACAGAAGTCAAGCCATTGCAATCGGCTCCGTGGGATCGGTGCCACTCGTAGCTGGGATAAGCCTGCAGCAGAGTTCCATTCGGTCGCATTTCGTTGGTGACGTAGGCCAGCGAGTATGGCACACCCTTGGCAAAACGCGGAATGGTCACGAAGATCGAAGGCGTGGCATCGCCATCTAAAATGGAGCATGTTAGGCCAGCTTTTATGAAGGCGAAAAGGAGCTCTCACGCTTGTAGTAAACGTCCACATCGATGGGGATCACGCTGCCCGGATCGTAAAGGCCCTCCTTGATCGCTCGCTCCCTTTCCTGCGGCGATGGGAACTCAAACTCTAGGTTGTAGGCTCCAAAAACACTTTCCAAGGCCTGGTTGGTTGCCGCCAGCCACAAGACACAGCAGGCTCCAAAGAGAATCAAACGCTGCATGTTGTAATCCTTTCACTTTCGCGCCGACTACTCCACTTAAAGTCCCAGCGGATACTGCGCTTGCGCGACGGACCGCTGGCCCATGTCTTTCTAATCCGGCCAGCCACTCGGCAGGCTAAGCGGGTCAGCTTTTGTAACTGGTTTAATTGCACACACAAAACTCTGTGCACTGGAATTCTGGTCGAGCCGTGGCCGTTTGTTTACTGGTGGACACCTCGGAAAACAAGTTGCTGGTGTTGGCTAATTATGCACGCCACCCATTTGGTCCGATTGGTCGGTTCATTGTCCCATTAAGTGTTATCAATTATCCCGTCGATACAATTTAGTTCGCAATCCAGTTTTTGAACGTTGATGGTTACAGATTGCATGTGTCGTCAAAAGTTTGAAACGGTTAAGGTCAGTTGTTGGCAAGGAATCATGTCTAATCTCAGGCCATTCGGACTCCTAAGCCTTGTGGTCGTTGTAGTCTTGCCCAATCATCTGGCGATAACAGTGACCCTGAACTCTGCCTCAATTTTTATGCCGTAAGAGCTTTGAAAGTGAAAATAATAAGCACATATTATGTAAGATGAACCAAATCAAATCATCAAATCTTTTCGATTCCGAACCTACACAATTGTTTACACTTGAATCGTACACAAATAGTTTTTCAGCTATTATCGTTAAAAAAAAAAATACTTTATTATGAAAAGCTTAAAATAAACTTCTAAGAGTTTCAAGTTTTTTCCAGAAGAAACTCAAGTTTCCAATAAACTCACTTCAGGTAAATTAGCGCCTTGGCGTATGTAAACTCAGCTTATCGCCAGTAATAAAATTTTAGCTGTTCCTTGGAATGAGTTTCTGAAATATATACATAAATATTTACACTTTCATAATCAGAATGTTCCCATTTATGTACATAATTTACAATTCGAGAAAGGGCGATGATAAAATTCCTTTACCCACTCACGTTGGATTTCCCACCCAATAAACTTCACAACCACACAAATATTTACATACATTAGTTTAGTTGGTTTAGTTAATCACTAGTTAAACACCAGACGATTGGAAAGATCGTCGTCGTTTGAAAAGAAAACTCCTCCTTGAACATCATCCAACTTGCGTCGCAAAATGCGGAAGTTAACCTCACTGGATTTCACTGTACCGGCGGAGATTTTCTAAAGATGAGAAATATGTGCTTAGTATTAAACCTTATTTCGCTAGATTGATCCCACCTGAAAGCGATTGGAGAGCATCCAGAGCTCCTCCTGACCATCCGGGGTGCGGACCACCTTCATGCCGCTGACAAACTGCAGCTCACTGGATTTGGCCGGCAAATTGCCGAAACTGCGTGAATTATACGGCGTGTTCACGTTCCAGACAAATAGCTTGATGGGATTGAAGGTGACGCAGTAGATGTTGCCCTTACCATCCAAGGCGGATGCGGCGCACTCGCTCCTCCGCCTGCCCAGCAGGGTGAACTGCTCCGGCATCGCTTCCGGTCCATTGGCCCAGTTCTCCTGCCGATTCAGCACACTCAGCGGCACGGAATACTCACTTACACTGGCCAACGGGTGGAAGTACAGATTGCGCTTGTCGTTGTTGAGGGCAAACATGCCGTCCATCAGATTGAAGCTCTCGCCGGCAATAGTGTGCTGGCCGTAGTCGGGATCGGGATACATAAAGCGGTTCTCTGCCCGCCACGAGGTCTGCGCCTGGTGATCGTAAACGACCAGGCCATGATAGCTAACATCGGCCACGTAGATCATGGTGCGACTGCAAGAGCCCCTGGGCGGAGGATCCTGCACCAGAACATTGGGCGTGATGAAGAGGGAGCCACTCGGGATGTAGGTGGTGTTCGGGAAGCGGTAGCGGTGCAACAGGCGATCCGTACTCAGGTCGAATTGCAGCAACTGCGGCGGACAATGCTGGGTGGTGCCGATTACACCCGAATCGATGACCCACATCTGGTTGCATTCGGTTATCTGGAAGAGATTAATTGCCCAGATGATCCTGATCTTAACAATCTTTGATCCATTTCAACTTACAGCCACACGGAAGGCGGAGGTGATCAGATCGCAGTTCTCGCCGTTGCCATTGTGCCAGGAGTAGCTGGGATACGGCTGCAGGAGAGGACCATTCCTGGCCTGCGTCTCGGAGACGGTGGCCAGTGTATAGGGTATGCCGGTGACAAACCGTGGAATGGTGGTGAACAGCCTGGTCTTGCCATTGGCCATATACTGCGCCTGAACGTCGATGGGCGTGCCATTCTCCGGCACCAGGTTGCCCGCCGACTGGGCATTCTCGCGATCCTGGGCCGTGGGAAAGCCATACTCCAGCTGGCGCCACTGCGTCAGCGTTTCCACAGTGCGCACGGGACGCGATCCTCCAGTCCCGGGGCCGTAACCCTGGGCCAGCGCCAGCGAGAGGCCGATCAACAATATCCGGAGGTGCTCCATTCCGCAGCAGAGTCGGATGGGAAGTGTTCTGGTCGAACTAAGGGCAGCTGCTTATCAACCAAGTTGGTTTTTGGGGGCCTGATAAGTGGATGGAAGAGAGGCGCTGGCGGAGATCGCAGAGTGCGGCTTTGTCTAGCTTGTGACGGCCGATTAAGAGAGTTAACTTTATTGATATTTGGCCAGATGCGGCCTGAATTGCGCGATAACTTAATACGGTGACCCCGATTTGCCAACACTTTCTTCGTCGTCTCACATCGGAAGCCAACTATCAACTGAAAACAGGCTTTTCTGGGCGTCAGAAGATGAGCAGGCAGAAGAACGGCAGGCTTTGTTGGTATGCTGATGCTGATGCTGATGCTGATTCAGGTTCATTGGCAGGTGGTTTTCCCCCGGTCTTTTTCGCACACTTACAGTTTTATGCTGCCCGTTTCTTGGTGCGACTGTGAGACGACTGCGTGCTTGGAATTGTTAACCAAATATTTGTCTTTTGGACGTTGACAAAAGCTGGAATTGTTTACGCTCGGGAACGACTTGAGCCAAAGCCACTTATATGGCCGACAGCTAATGATGACAGACCATTATTATTATTATTGATGAGACGCTCCAAGGGTGGGCGGGTTTAGCTAACTCGTAATTAGTTTTTTACGACTCGCTATCTTTAATTGTTTTCGACACCGGCTAATCGAGAATTTTTCTGTTTAAATTGGATTTCTTGCAGCAAAGGGAGCAGCTGGATCGCCTCAAGAACGACCAGATTCACCAGGCCGAGTTCCACCACCAGCAGATCAAGGAACACGAGGAGGCCATTCAGCGCCACAAGGAGTTCCTCGAAAACCTGCACAAGTGAGCGATGGGCCAGCGGGAGAAGGTGACCACACAGATGTGCTAACTCGGGACATTCACTTAACTGCATTTCACTCCCTTTTGTATTTTTTCAAGTGCTCAGCATGTACTACTACCACCAATTACTCAAAAAATGTTAAATGTATTCGAAACCGCATCAATAAAATATCCACATTTTAAAGGCTTAACTTGGACATAAATCTAGCAGCCATAGATGATAGCTCTGAAGCACATCAGTGGCTCGTGCTACAACTTGTTAATGATGTATGTTAATAAATATGGTCAGGGGCTTACGATCGGTAAAACTTTAAGAGGGGTGAAACAGCTATATTCCCAAAAAATCGAATGTATTATAATGGGATTTGCTATTTTTCAAATTTGTTACTTTTTAGTTTCCCCAATTTTTTATTTGCCGAATTTTTCATCAAATAAAAGAAGCGTATAAAGTTATTTCCCAGAAAAATGATCAAATGATACTTATAATCAAAAAGCTTTTGCTTGGAAATCAATAGTCCCAGAAGCCCCAAGTACAAACACTACTTGAACCAATCAACGCCTTGACAATATCAATAAAGCAAAATAAATGGGATATATTATAAAGTTTGTGAAGCACCAATGGTAAATGAGTATGAAGAGTGTTTAGATCGCGCATCTCCACAAAATATAAATTCGCCAAACTCAGCCGATACTAAAAATGCAAATCATTGCTTAATTAGCAAACTTGTCCAGCTTTCATTCAGTTTTTAGCGTGTAAACCACATAATTATGTTGTTAAAAAAACTTTGCATAGACTTTCTACAAATAAACAGAAATAGAGGAAATTTAAAGGGTTTGACTGATTTTAGTAATAGAGTCAATAACATTTTAATTTAACGGATCTTCTCTGCTACGCTTACTTGCGCCATCTGCTGGAATTGGGCTGCAACAGTAAATAGTCGTCCATGTTGGTGACGGAGGGAACTAGTAAGAAATAGCTGTATATATATATACACAAAAAATGTTAAAATTTGGTATAAAATGGTTTATTTTGTAAAAGAAAAACAATTGAAGATATAAAATATTCACTCAAAACATAGAATAACCTAATAGATATTAGTTATCTTTCAAAAAACTTGCAGTTATAGAAACGTATAAAAATGTTATTGTCACATTAACTTAAATAAATATGCATTCGTCACGAGAGCTGACAATGTAAATTTGGGTCTTCAGGGTGCATTCGCCACCAGCTGCTTACACCGTTAAGAAGATTTTTTTTGTTTGTTATCGATAACTGATGGGCAATCGAAAGTGTGACCATTTGAGATACATCTGCAGACACGTATTTAGATGTTTTTTAATTAAAAATTAAATAGAGCTTGAACCAGGAAGCGCAGGCAGTTGATTATAAGCGCAACCGGGCCTCGAAATGTTTGCCAACCTGAAAAATAAGCTAATCGAGGAGGTGAAGGCGTCGCCGTCGAAATTTCAGCAATTTGCGAATGCTGCACAGGTATTTTGTGGGTGCGAGGGCGGGGGCGAGGTGCCGATGAAAAATGCAAATTAAGAAAAACATACGCACACCGACACGATTGTCTGTGTGTTTGTGGTGCTGGGAGGGGGGTCGAAAATAGTGCAATTGTGACCCATTTGTGGGGTGACAAGTGAAGGGAACAGCTGCTCATGGCTTTGGCTTTTCCCTTCTAGGCCGCCGTGAGCTCATCGTCGAGCACAACACCCAATTCGGACACGAACACCAGCAACACCGAGAACTTCTTCAGCATCACGGAAGAGGGTGGGTATTCCATGATTCACTTGGAGCTCCTTATCGGGCACTCATATCTTTGCCACCCCCACAGACACGCCTCAGAACTCGCCTTATCGCATCCAGAAACTGCCGGCCACAAGTGCATCTTCGCTGCGAGGACGCTCCACCCAATCCCTGAATGGCGCCACCTCCAGGACCCGCAAGCTGTCCAATTCGTCTATGGCCAGCGATGTGTCCTTTCGCCTGCCCACCTACGAAGCGCCCGCCGTAAATATCCAGGGGCATTAGAAAAAACCACTATTTATCATACCAATTACTTCAGGTGTACCACTTGCAATCGGATCTGGACGAGACGAGCAGCGAGTTCGACGACTCCGCCTCGACGGCCCGCCTGGATGTGATCACCAAGGATCAGCTGTACGATGCGTATAAGAAGTCGCTGGATCGCTATCACAAGTACCGCTGCCGCTACACGGATCTGGCCAAAAAGTACAAGGAACTGGAGCGCGACAGCTCAAAGGCGAGGGTATTTATCTATCTTATCAACTGATAAGCCCATGTTACTTATGTTTCCGATAAAAACACTTTGCAGTCGGTGCTGGTGGAGACGCAAGACAAGGCGCTGCGCCGCATAAGCGAGCTGAGGGAGCAGTGCACGCTGGAGCAGCAAGCCAAAGCGCATCTGGAGGAGGCGCTACGCATCGAAATGGACGACATGAGCTGCAAGATGCAGGCGTATCAGACGAAGCTCCAGCTGCTGGGCGAAAATCCGGACAATATTACGGCGGCTCTGGAGCGGAGCGGCCATTCACTGGACACGGAGCAGCTAATCGACCTAGATGAGGCGGCAGGCAAGACGTCACTGCCCGCAAATGGTGGTTCCGGTGAGGATGTGTCTCATCTCGAGCGATTACTCAAAGAGCGAGAAGCGCAACTTAAGGAAGTGACGGAAAAGTACGAAGCTCTTCGAAAGCAGGAGGAGGAGAATGTTCTGCTGCTGGCCCAGACAAAGCAGGCCATCCACACGGAATTGGAGCACAAAGACACCGAGGTGCGTCAGCTTCAGGAGAAGCTCAAACATTTGGAGGCTCAGCGAGAATCCCACAACAAGGAGACTAAGGAACAGTTGAGAAAACTGCAGGCCACTAAGCAGGAAGTTGATGCCAAGCTTATTGCTACAGAGCACTTGCTGAACTCCCTGAAAGGAGACTATGCCTCAAAGGAGCAACAGGTGGCTGCCCTCGAGAAGCAACTGGAAACCATCAAAACTGACAACGAGCAAAAACTGAATGACCTGCAACAACAGAACGAAGATCGCGACAACCAAGCTAGCGATTCGAACGAACAGCTGATAAAACTGCAATTAGCCAAAAAGGAAGCCGAATCGCAACTTCTGAGCAAAGAGCAACTTTTGGAATCTCTCAGAAGCGAACACTCAGCCAAGGATCAACGGTTGAAAGATCTTGAACAGCAGTTGGATGTTCTGAAAAAGGAAAACGAAAATAACTTGAACGAACTTCGACAAAGCAAAGAAGCTAGCAAGTCTCAAACTAATGAAGCACACGAACAGCAAAGGAAACTACAAGCAGCCAAGGAGGAAGCTGAATCTAAGCTATTGACCACAGAAGAACTTTTAAATAAGCTCGAGAACGAGCACAAGGCAAAGGAAGAACAGCTGGCTAAATTGGAGGAAAATCTGAAAACTCTTAAAGAGGAAAACGAATTGAATTTAATAAAATTGCGTCAGGTCAACGAACATCGCGAGTCTCAAGGGTCTGAAGCCCAGGAAAAGCTAGTTATTCTGCAAGCAGCTAAGGATGAAGCCGAAGCCAAACTCCTCTCCACGGAACTCAGTTTGAACGCCCTTCAGGCCGCACTCTCGGCCAAGGAAGAGCAAGTTTTATCCTTGGAGGAACATTTAAATGCCCTTAAGACCGAAAGCGAGCACAGTTTGCAGGACCTGCGACTGCAAAACGATCAGTTGCTCGAGATTGTACAGCGCCACCAGCAAAACGACTGGGAGACTCAACTTGGTCAGGCCAGGGAAGAGTTAATAACTCTTCAATCGCAGCGAGAGCAGCATGCTCTTGAGCTTGAAAAAAGCCTGGAAATGGAACGGGAATCGGTGGCCGCTTTGAGCTCCGAGAAATCCTCTTTGGAGGAACAGCATAGGCTCAAGCTGGAGCAGCTGCAGCGTGAGATTCAAATCCTGCAGGACCAGCACGCCAACACGGAGAGCGAGACTGTGGCAGCTCTGAAAGCCCAGTTGGAGGCACTTAGCCAGGACTTGGCCACCAGTCGGACCAGTCTGCTGGCCAAGGAAAAGGAACTGAAAGCCAGTGGCAACAAGTTGAACAAGATGAAGAAGCAACACGAGCAGCAGCAGGCAAAGACAAGCGAACAAATTGCCCGTTTGGAGACACTGCAAAGTGAGTTGGCCGATCGACAGAATCACGCCCGGCAGGTGGAGAGCGAGAAGGAGGAGTTGCAGGCACGCGTCACCGGAATTCTGGAGGAGATCGGCACCATGCAGGCGCAAATGCAGCAGGTACAGGACTCGCACAGCGAACTGGAACGCGAAAAGCGCAAGCTAGAGTCCCGCATCGAGTCACTGCAGCAGGAGCAGGTGGACAGCAGTGCCCAAGATGAGCGGACGGCCGCCAAGCTGGAAGAAATCCAGAGCGAAAACACCAAGCTGGCTGAGCGCAACTGCCTGCTGGAGGAGCAAACCAACCACCTGGAGTCCCAGCTGCAAGCCAAACAAGATGAGATGGGCAAGATTCAGGTGAAATTGCAACAGGTCCTCGACGAGCACTCGAAGCTCCAAAACGCCCAAGAGCTAATGGACCACGACCACCGTACGCTACAGGACAAGTGCGACGCCTACGAGAAGGACAAGCTGCTAACCAAGGACACGTTGGACTGCATCCAGGTGGCCAGTGATGAGCTGCACCTGGCCAAGGCCAGTTTAGAGCGGGATCTGGAGGAACAGCAACAGCAACTGTTGGAGCTGAGAGAACGACAGCGGGAACAGGAACAGCAGTTGCGGGACCAGGCCGATCGATGCGCCGAACTGGAGGCCCAGAACTCCCAGAGCGAGTCCCAGCTGCAGGCCACGATAAGCAATCTTCGCGAGCAACTTGATTTCCAAAGGCAGTCAGAACAGGGCATTCAGGAGAAGATCCAGGCCACCAATGACTCCTATGCCGCGCAGATTGCCACCCTGGAAGCGCGCTGGAGTGCCGCCAACTCTGATCTGGAGCGTCTTCATGAAGCCAACGATGCCCTGCAACTGGAAATGGATCAGCTAAAGATCAAGCACAGCCAGGAACGGGAGGAGGTAAAGGAGTCGGTGGCCCAGAAAAATCGGCAGGTGGTGGAGCTGCAAGAAGCCATGGCTATTAGGGATAGTCAGCTTAAGGACAAGCTAGATGCCTCCGACAAGTTGGCCAAATTCGATGAGATTCAAATAGAGAACGAGTATCTGAATAAGCACACCAAACAATTGGAGAAGGAGCTGGCTGAGGCCGCGGAACTTAAAGAGAAACTCAAGTCTCTGCAATGCGAATTGTATGTGCTCCAGGAGAAGGCCGAACAGCATGCCGTCCAAATGGCCGATAAGGAAACGCAAAGTGCGGCAGCAACGGCAGAAGTCTCTGAACTGAAAAAAGCCATCGAGGAGCAGGCAGTCGAGCTAACTCGCCAGAAGGAGCACGCCAGCTTTGTCACCGAGCAGAGTGACGCTGTCCAAAAGGATCTGCTCCTCGCGCAGCAGCAACTCCAGGACAAGCAAATCGAACTTACGAAGTGCCAAGAAGAACAGAGCACTTTGCGGGCGACGGTGGAAAGCCTCAACCAAGAGGTGGACAGTCTTAAGGACTGGTCCGCGCCATCGGATTCCGACAGCCTGCGCAGCCTTAACGAGCGGCTGCAGCGGGAACTGGAGGAACTGAAGCACAAGAGCGACGGCGCGGAGTCCAATATGCAGCAGGAGATCGAGGAGTTGCAGGCGAACAACCAGCAGATGGCCGAGCGCATCAACGAACTGGAAACCCTGCGGGCGGGCATTCAGGCCCAGCAGCTCCTCGCCAGCATGGCACCCAAAAACGTTCAGGAGGCAGCCGCTGCCGGGGAAAAGGCGGAGCTGGAGGCCAAGCTAAAGGAGATTATGAACGAGGTGCAGGACGTCACCAATCGGAATCTGTTCCTGGAGCAAAAATGCGAGAACTACCTGATACTCGAACAGTCCAACGAACGGCTAAAGCTGCAAAATGCCAAACTTTCGAGGCAACTGGATGAAACACTGGTGAGTTCTTGGTAGCGGTATGTATTTTCATCCACTTACTGATTGCTTCTGGTTATACGACAGGTATCCATGCAGCACAGCGAGGCTGTTCCGGCTAATACGGAGTTCGAGTACTTGCGCAACATCATGTTCCAGGTAATAGATCTGCTAGTACAATTTGAGAGAGTAAAGTGATTTTAATACGAGTTTTTACAGTACCTCACTGGCAACACAAACAATGAGACCCTGGTCAAGGTGATATCGGCGGTGCTTAAATTCTCGCCGCAGCAGGCCCAAGTTGCCCTGGAAAAGGAGCATCAGCGCCGATCGCTGGTAGAAACTGCCCCCAAATGGCCATCTGCATCATTAACTGATTTAAGCTTTACAATTCCAGCTGAACAAGCTAATCTAGCATGAACTGAATGCTTTCTACGACGGAGACTGGAACTGGGAGCCCTGCCCGGCGACGCTGCTAGACCTCAAATGAAGTCGCGATGATTGGCCCGAGATCACAAGTACCTTATACCTCACCTCCGGCACATGGGATGGATGGTTCCGGCTGACTCTGCAGGCATTTCGAGTTGTGGGAGCTGCTGATGTGTGTTTACCCTCATACTATTATAGATGTTATTGTACAGTCCTTACACTTATTAACTTTAGCTACTTCTGTCCAAATTCATGCTAAGCACTTTTGTACATTTTGATTACGCTTTCCTTTGTTTCCGGCATTAGTTTGCCAGTGATCCATATCCCATATTACCCACTTAACCCCAAAATCTAACCTAAGTGCAATCGTTTTGTGTATTTTAGTTATAAGTTGAAATTTGAAAAGATCCGCAGCGCAGTTGGCATTTAGTTTAATTCAAATTCTATACAATTACATACATAAATAAATAGTTGCAATTCATACAAGAAAGAAAGAGAAGCTCTAATCTCTTCGGGCCTTCCCAGTGGCCGCTACGCGACGAAACTGCCTTCTCCGCTCCGCAAAGCATCGGAACATGGCCCGCGTCAGCGGATCCAATTGATAGCTCGGCCTGTAGTCCTTCAGGGCGTCCAGAGTGTACGTGAATCCGAATCTTTGTAGGCGCAAACAGGCCTGCACGGCCGCCAGTTGAACTCCAGATCGTGGCACTGCCACGAGCAGACGTTTGAAGAACCCCACGAAGGCGGTGATATCCGTTTCTAGGGGCAGTGGTTTCAGCACCAAGGAGATGCACTGCAGCAGAAGCACCAGCCGGTCGTCGTACGACTTGTTCTGGGCAGCGAGATCACAGTAGCTGGTGGCGAGCGGCATCAGGTGTTCCCCCAGCACGCTGTCCAACACCTTGAGATGCGGAGAGCGCCGGCAGAAGAGCGCAAAGGCGTAGCCCAACTGCTCCAGTCGGCCAGCCTTCAGCTTCTCCATGAGATTTTCCAGCACCTGCTGTTTGGTGGGCTCAAAGGGTTGGAAGTGGTATTCAAAGCGCAGCTTGGAAAGCAGCAGTCGTTCGGCGCCCTCTGGATCCTGCATGTCGTAAGTGCGGTTCATCAACAGATGTTTAATCACGGTGATCAGGGGATCGGCGTGGTCATATTCCCGCTGCTCCCGATGGGGCAGGACTGTGGGAAACTGCCGCAACAGCTCCATCACCAGTGGCGGCATATCCCGATCAAAGTGATATAGTATCTTAGCCAGTAGTAGCCTGGCCGGATTCTCATATTCCGCCGACAGTGACGCCTGTAGACACACGGCCTTCAAGTAGAGCTTAACGTACATCAGCGCCAAGTCATTGGCTGGCCGCTCTTTGGTGTTCCGGAACAGTCGCTCCTCCAGCTCGGCCAGAAATCTGTGCGTGAAATTGAAATACTTCAGGGCATTCAACAGGCGTTCCACTGGGCGCTCCTCGGTGCCGATCTTGCAGATCACTGTTATCATGGCATTCACAATCACAAACTCATCTTTGGTCAGCCTGTAGATCTCCAGGGCCAAGTCACTGCAGGAGGACTCCAGTTGCATGGTGTCCTGCAGATATTTGCCTATTACGGAGCAAAGCTGAGGCTGGAATTTTCCCAAAGTTTTCCTTCCCACCTTGTTGAGCTTTGCGAGTCCTTTGTCCACGTCAATTACGTGTTGTAGAATCGACTTGGGTTCGCCATCCTCCCGCATGCAAGCAGCTTGCTCCAAGGGAATTTCGATGGGTGGATCGGCCAAGTCGTCCGTTGGCTCGGAAATAGGAGAAGCTGGCGATTCTTCGCTGATTGTATGGGTTTGGCTAATGGGAATCGGTTCAGTGTGTGCCTCCTCTGCCTTTGGTGTTTTAGGCTCCACGGGCGTAGAATCCATCATCGTGTTCTTTTTTAAAGGTTCCGACTTGGTTAATGCTTCCTTTAATTGATTTCTAATTTGTTCCACAAGGGATGACCCTTTTCCCGGACCGGATTTCTCTTCGTTAAGAAGTTGTTTGGCTCTCTGACGAGTTAAACGGACTTCTCTACATGGCGAAGGAGTTAGGATCTCATGTTGTGTTTTTCTCCTTTTAGTTTGTACTGGAGGAGGGGAAGGTGATTCTTCTGGTTGTATTACAGAGGTTTCTTCATCGATTACCAGACTGTGCTCGTCTTCAGATTGATCACTTAAGTTTGAGGTGGCATCTGAACTAGAACTGGTTCCCTCTTTGGACAGTTGGCTTTCATTTCCTTCTTCTCCAGAACATGACTCTTCGATAGGTGGCTTTGTGGAAACTAAATCAGCATCGGCGGGTAGAGGCAGACTAAGCGAGTCTTGGCTGACACTACTTTCATTTTCCATATCACTCTGTTCCTTTGAGAGTGACTCTTCAGCACCACTAGAGTCTGAACCATTTTGAAATAGTAAAGAATCAAATGAATTTGAATTACCCGACTCGTTTTTGATCGTTTTTGCAAGTTTTTCCAAGTTATTCTCTTCTACCATGGTTTCTGCTTCGTTCCCATCAGAATCAGAATCATTGCCGAACAAGGAGACAATTGATTGCTTTTTAAAATCCGTTTGGTTATCAGAAGTACCACACTCCATTTCACTATCATTAGAATCATTCAGCTCACTCGTTTCGGATTCCAAATCTGAATCACTGCCAAATAGTGACGCATTTGATGTTGGTAAAACATCACAACCCTCTTGGTTTGATGGGCTTTCCGGCGCTTTGAATGATTTTAAATCCAACTCTTGTTCTCTTTCAACATTATGCACCATGACAGCATCAGGATTAAAGTCATCTCTGAAGAGGGGTGAATTGATTTTTTCTATTGAATCTGAAACATTTTCCATTTTGCGCTCATCACAAGTGTTCAGATCTGAATCCAGACTTTCTTCAAGCAATGTTAGACTCCTTACATTTGATTGTTCAACAGATTTCCTGGCTTCTATTGCAGAAAGTTGTGGTAAGTTTTTAATTGGTGCTGTTTTCGCTAACTCAATGGCTGGTTCTTTAAAAATGTGTACTTCCGAGTCGAACTTTTTTTTAACCAGCAGCTTTTTAGTTTTCCCTTTTATATTAACATTATTCTGATCATTATCTTTTGAAGACAAATCTTTCTCTTTCTGGACTGCAGTCAAATTTCTATCCTTATTTTCTTGCAGTAGGAACTCAGCATCTTCCACGGGGCTTTCGAAGTCTTTGGAAACGTCTTCCCCCAAGTTGTCATCCTCATTTTCTTGCTCTTTCGTGTTGGATGTTAACCGAAGGAAATATAGTTCTTCCTCATCCAACTCCATATCGAGATTATCACAGTTGGCCATGTTAAAATTATTCAATTTGCTTAAAAATTGGATTGCCGTTTCTGGCTTTTGTTCATCCCCTAGTTCTTCTGATTCGTTGTTTTTTTCCTGACTTACTGGCTCCATATCCAAACAATTTCGCTTTGGAATAGGTTTTGGTATTGTGGCGGCTTTGCGCTTCTTGGATTTCCGCTTTCGTTCTCTGGGCTTGGAGGGCAGGCGAATGGGCGTGACATCTCCTCCGTGGCTAATATTGGGCGACTGAATGATGGGATCCGTGCCAACGTCCATGCACTGTGTGCTAGCGGCAAAATCTAAAACAAATGTGGACTGAATTAACCCACTTACTGATGTGTTTTTGACAGTTTTACCTCTTTTGCTGGTGCTACTACTGGAGGTCTGCTCCGTCTGAGTCTGCGTGCCCTCATAGAGCTCATACAGCCAGCTGGTGAAGTCCGCCTGGCTGACACTCGGCGGCGTGGCCAGCGTCGGATTGGAGCGCCGCTGCAGCAGGCCCAGCACCATTTGACCAAAGACCTGCCACAGTTCCTCGAAGGCTTGCGGCGGCAGATTGGCCAGGCAACTTTGGTTTTGAGGTAGAAAGTTGAGCAGCTCCTTGGCAAGCTCCCTGGAGGACCTGGCCTCCTCCTTCACACTGTCCAACATCGTTCGCGAGGGTGGACGAGAGGCGGACACCTTGATTTGCGACGGCAGCTCGGACATAAAGTCAATCTCGCGGTGTATGTCACACAGAGTGGTGCATGTGGCCACACTCGCTGTGGTGGGTACGTCCTCCCACTCCGGCTGTGGATCACTCAGCGGACTCATCGGTTCGATTATAATATCATCCCGCCAGGAGAGCATTTCATCCAGTATCTGCCGCACATTGGGCAGAGGCTTTGGTTCGGGAAAGCAGGTGCCCACATCGTGCTGCCTGATAAAAGAGGCTGTGGTTGTGCCCCTCGTGGTGGTGGTGTTCTTGTGCTGCGTCCCCTGATCGCGGGTCTCTATCAGATTCTCCACCTGCACAGCCACAGAACAAAGAAGGGGCTTGGTTATCACGGGTTTCACGTCGGTTTGCGTGGATTGGTTGACGCCAGGCTGGTGGCTTTTCCGTTTGCTTCGCGGGTTGGGGCTCTTTGGCGTGGGCACACTTATGTCCACCGCTTTGCAGTGCTCCTTCAGCTTCTTCAAGATGTTCTGGTCCCGCCGCAAGAGTCCACAATCGTCGCCCAGTCGCTGGGCCAGCTGCATGATTAAGGGCAGCACATCTTTGGCATCCACGGGCAGTCCCCTGACCTGCAGCTCCTCCTGCAGATTCTCGCAGTTAAGCACCTGCGCGTCCAGCTCCTTCTCCAACTCCCCGCAGCGCTCGCTTATCTGCCTGCAGGACTGCTCCAGTTCAATCCGCTGCTGCTTCTCCTTCTGGTACAAACTAGTCACCTCCTGGGCGGTGCGTTGCAGGTCCACCAGCTTTTTGTTCTGCACCTGGAGTTGTTTCACCTGGCGGATCAACTCGTCACTTTCGGCAATACGCTCGGCCAGCCGGCTTCGTTTGGACCGCACATCCTCGTTGATCTTGGAAAGCGGAAGCTGCCTGTATGGTACCACCAGACTATCTTGGAGCGGTGGAGAGGAGCCCAGAAGTTGATCGATATGGTAGTCCGAGAACTCTGATAAATCCATGGCCACGGCCGACTTGTTGGTGCTGGATTTCACGTGGTCGCGCTTTACAGCGCCACTAATGCGCTTAAACGGTACAAAAACCAACGTTGAATGTCATATCCCCATACAGTTCGCAAGTCTGGTTGCAGTTGAATAATCTTCAGTTGCGGCTCTATTGATTTAATACACAAAACAGAGAACTAAAACAATAATCCGCGTTTTTTCTGCCGGTTCACCAAAACATTTCCCTTAGCGATGACACATTTCCGATAATTTGACCCAAACCGAGAAATCGGTATATTTATTTCGGTATATTTTCGAGGGCTGGATATTTTACACTGTTCACACTGACGTTTACAGTTTTGAAGCTCAGGTCTTTGTGGTGGGAAAAAACTGTAAAAAATTTTTTTTTTTATGAAAGTTAACAAATTGATTTAGGATAATTGATCATAAAACCTGCACACAGCCGCTAAAAAGAGTTGTAGCAAAAAAGCTATTAACGCAAAAAGCAATTTTGCAATGGAAAGTTTTTCTCTGTTAATGATGCACTGATATGTTGACCATCTGATCCATTTATTGCTGATGGATTTGCCCATAAATATGAGTGTCTTTGCGCTAATTAGTTAGTCCTGCTTTTCGTCCGCTGGTCAAATGGAATTCAATACCATCCTATTCTTTCATATTATCGAATTGAAATTTGTTCATTTATTTACATTCATGATGCATATCCATCTCCAAAAAATCAAGAATACTAAATTACAACAGAATTAACAGCTTACTACTCGCAACGATGACCCAATTTCAGTATATTTCTGCTGCAATTACAAATTATATATTTTTTTAAATAATAGCCTGATTCCATTGCCGCATTAGTGGACTTTTTAAATGTGCCTGATTCCATTGGCGCATTAGCATTTAGTTAATGCTACTCCGACATGTGAGTGGCACGAACAGCTGATCTGGGCTTGTTTACTTTTGAATTTTGGCAAATACAAAAGAAATTAATTAAAATTAATGAACATGAGTGAGTTTACTAAACTCTGTAATGCTCAGCAGGACATCCATATTGCGACCGAGACATTTGCCAACTTGAACGACAAAGAAGAGAAGCTGATTGCGTTGTTATGACGGGTTTGCAATGGAGGCTACCTCATTTTCTAAAAAAGGCAAGGATCCCCGTAAATGTGGAAGTAATTTTATGCCAGAGATTCAGCAATAAAGCATTGTGGTACTGCGAGCAGAATTTGCAGTGTGCGCTCTAGGTTTCAGTCATTTTTTTACAAAATAGATTTTATATTCAAAAGACATCAAAAATTGCGCCAACCTTGCTTATAGAAAACAGCTGTTGTAGTGGTGGCACGAACAAAATATCGTTAAACATCGGTATTTTCCAGTATTTTTTCTAAAAACTTTCGGGGCGAATGGTTTTTAATCGCATTTAAAAATCGCATTTATTTTAAATGCGGCATTTAGCCTTATGGGATTCCCTGTGTAAATAAATGCGCATTTGGCTAAATGCGTTTTAATGCGGCAATGGAATCAGGCTATAAGATAATTTACAAAAGTTTTTCGTAAAAAACGTGTGCTAGTGTGTATGGTCTATAATCTTATTGTATAGTAGGTTTACAATATACAAAATAATATTGCTGGCGTTTTTAAACAATTCGTGAACGGTCACACTTTTGGTGGCTCTGAATTTTAACATCGTATTGTTTTTGGCGGTTTTCACGCGTCTGCAATCTTTAAAGATATCTACAATTAAACACAATGCAAATATGTCTTTTCCTGTTACTTATAAAGAATTCCAGAAGCTAATCGTCAACCTTAAGGACATTGCACTAGACGTGCAAGCACAGGATGGCGGCGATAAGACAGTCGAGCAGTGTACCCACTGGTTGTACAAAGCGTTCTTCAGGGATCCCACCGCTCGAAGTAGATATCCTTTCAAATTAGAAAACCGTCCCAGTTCCTGTTCCCGTCACATTCTCGATAAATTACTTAAAGAAGCAGGGACTGAAAATATGGCTGTAGATGAGGAAGCTGAAAACAAGGCGGAAGCAGCATCACAATTCCTGCCACATCAATCCCAAGGTGTTATAGTCGAAGTGGACAAGTGAGTGGTTTCCTTTTCAAGCCTTACGGCTTACCAACTTTGGTCTCTTTGCAGATGGGGCCCATTCGTCTTTCCGGTATCCTTTGAAACATTCCTGGAGAGCCTGAACCAAAGGGAGGTTTTTTGGAAGATAACCAAGACCAGGGAACAATGCCTAGACTTTATGTTCGATGATGCATTACGACTACGTACTCTTCGAAAGTTCTACAACCGCTTTTACATGTTTCCAGAGAAGCGATCCGAAAAAAACTTCTTTAAGGATGAGCCGGCGACCTCTTTGGCAAAGTTGCTCGAGTTTGGCAGGCCGCATAAGGAAATAGCAGCCAATTGTCTGGTGGAGGATACCAATAACAACAAGTAAGCAGTTATGCTTATTACTAATTAATGTATTTCACTAACTGTTCCTTTTAATGTCTATAAAGTAATGCCCTTTCCAGCAAGGAAGCTGCTGACGAACAAAGTACAAGCCTAAATGAGCCAACTACGTCTTCGCAGGTACGAAAGATGTCTAGGGTCAAGACTACCGACTGCGCTACAAAAGAATCTGAAGGTCATGACGGCATTCCGGATAAACCAGGTGTTAAATATCCGGTTTCCTTCGACCTCTTCAAACGGCAAGTGATTAATCTCGAGGAAATTGTTCACAAAATGCAGCTATGCGAAGAGCATAAAGGAAAAAACGATGAGAATTGTATTAGGGACTACTACAATGGGTTTTACACTGTACCGGCGATGCGAGAAAAGTTCGTTTGCCAATTTAAGCCATGTCCCGCAAAGATGCAAAAGAAACTGCTCAGCTTTCCACCGAAACATAAAGAGGTGGAAGTGGAAAAACCAGAAGGCCAAATTGTGGATTGTATCGCTGAGAAATCGGGTGAAGAGTCCCAACCGAATTCCTACCAGAAGGCTGCCCACGGAGAGATTCAAAGCGCGCCCGAGTCAACTATGTCCTCACCAGGACGGGTGCATCACAAGGCAAAGACTCCCGAGATCGCCGCTGGAGATCCTAAAGGACAGCTAAAAACCGTATCAGATGTTCAATATCCGATCTCCTTCCATCTCTTCAAACGGTATGTGTGCAATTTCGAGGATATTGTTCAGGAAATGAAGCTAAGCGATGAGCATAAAGGAAAAACCGATGAGATGTGTATGAAGGACTATTACAAAGGATTTTACACTGCACCAGAGATGCGGGAAAAGTTCGTTTGCCGACTAAGGCCATGTCCAGCAAAGCTAAAAAAGAAGTTGCTTAGTTTTCCACCGAAACATGAGGACAATGCGGATAAACCGGATTGCCAAATTGTGGAGTTTCTTGAGAAACCAGCTGAGGAGTCCCTACCCAATTCCTGCAAAGAGACTGCCGAAGGACAGATTGTAAGCCTAACCCAGTCAACTATGTCCTCACCAGGACGGATGCAGCACAAGGCCAATATTTCCGAGAGCGCCACTGGAGAATTTAAAGTTCTGAAAGAGACCGTACCAAGAACGCATTCCGACAGCCAGGACTGCATTCCCGGAAAGCCAGCGGTTCAATATCCAATTTCCTTCGGTCTTTTCAAACGTTATGTGAGCAATTTCGAGCACATTGTTCACAAAATGAAACTATGCGATGAGCACAGAGGGAAAACCGAGGAGAAGTGTATGATGGACTATTACAAAGGTTTTTATGCCTCCTCAGGGATGAGAGAAAAGTTCGTTTGCCGGTTTAAGCCATGTCCCGCCAAGCTGAAAAAGAAGTTACTTAGTTTTCCGCCGAAACATCAAGAGGGACATGAAAAACAACCAGATTGCTGTATTGTGAATGTTACCACCGAAGAACCAGTTGAGGACAATCGTAAAGGGTCAAACTGTCAAGCGCAGTTTGTCATTCCGAGGGTTAAGAAAATTGTCGCCAAGGATATCCGCAAAGAAAAGTAGGTTATAGCTAGTGCAGATCTTTTGCAGATTTTATTACAAATTATCTTTAATTTCAGCAGCCAAGATACAAAACCCAACATGATAGAGGCCAAAGCGATAATGGCTGCAGCAGGAAATAAGGCTTTCGACCTTACTGAAATCACGATAAATAACACCCTTTATCTGTTTCCTGTGTCATTCCGAGCCTTCTTTTATGCTATCAACTATGACGAAATTATTGTAGAGTTGATCAGTGATACTTACAAGAAGAAAAGCCCTGAGCAGCAAAAGGTTATTCTTGGGAACGGACGAACTTGTGTACCTCTGTTCCGTCGATATTACCTCTCCTTTTATGTTGAAGTCAAAATTCGACAACGGTTTAATTTCAACTTCAGTGCTGCGCCTTCAAAGTTCCGTAAAAAGTTAATGGAAGTTGCGGTGCCCATTTCTCAACCCCCGTCACAAACTGAAGCTGTTGAAGACACTGCGCCAAATCCAGTTGCAGAAGCGTCACTTTCCACAGAACCCTCACAACGTTCGGACGAATTCTATGCAGCTAGGGAAAGAGAACTAGATTGGTAAGTAAAGTTACCTAATTGGCTTAAGTTCCTTTTTTGTAAAGTTAATAAATATATATGTATTTGTTTAGCAAGCAGAGGGTACAATTTTTTAAACACGTTTCTAAGCGAAGTCGATATTTAGACAACTGCTTAGCTCGAGAAGAAAATTTACATTCAGAGGCCCATGCTAGAAATAATCATTCTGCATCATCGGTCGCAGACCCAGCAAAAGAACATGAATCGCAGTCAATTTCAAATCAATCTGGCGTTAAAGAAGTCACCACAACCCAAGCAACGGAAATTCTTCAAGATAAAGATTTGGAGAAAAGTTTAAAAATGGCTGAAGCTGACAAATCTAGCTTAAAAAACTCGGATAGTGTAACCACAAAAATTGAAGCGCAAAGAGGGAAAGAACAGACTCCGACTGATTCATCCAATAAAGCGGAAAGTTCAACTGACAGTCAAAAAAGCTTATCAAATAATAGTCCTGCAAATGTAGGAGTATCGGAAACAATTTCAAAAGAACAAACGCAAGACACAACAGGTGAAAATCCTGGAGATGCCACGAAATCATCATCTTTAAATACTTCAGCACAGAAAAGCGATAAAGAAATCCTTCTCGAGCGAGCAATGGAATTATTTTTCGCCGAAAGCAGCTCGGTAAGTAGCATTCAAATAAGCCATGCAAATCAAAGCTTATCCTTAGCTTACTACTCCAAATAGGATCACAATCTGAAGTATTTGATCTGCACAAGCCAAGGCCTGATGAGAACTATTTGGCGCATCCTCTACCAGTTAACTCTTCAGGAATTCCTCAACTACACGAGCATCCACGACGGCGAGGGCTTGTATGAAAGCGATGTAGATTTGCAACTTTGTTATCAACACGTCGTGACCCTTGGCAACTGGCCAATAAATCTATGCGTCAAATTGCCCTATTTAAAGCAACTGCTCCACACCAAAGGAGTGCAGGTGGATAGGCTGGAGCTGGGTCAGTTATCACCAAAGATAGTTAGTCCTTGGGAACTAGGTCTATACTCAGATTTCGACAAAATAGTTGAAGAGGAGTACACCCTGCACACTGGCAAGGCAATTGATGATGTTGTGCAGTTGTTTCAAGAAAGGGATAATTTATATGCAGCCTGTTGGACATATAATCAGTGGATACCAAAAGTACCTCATCTCACAGATGAGGCACTTAATGCCGCAATCGAAGGAGTGGAGCCTGTTCTCGATGGAATTTCATTGAGTGAGCCCTTTTGCTATTTGAAATGCTTCTTGTAGGATTCGAAAATGAATGTTTTTATTTCCAGAGCAACTTTGTTGTGTGGAAAGCCGAGGTGAAAACAGCCCAGCAGAGATAGTGTCCATCGCCTCAAGTTCAGACACGGTTCCAGGTAAGTTATTGATCTAAATTGTAAAAATCGTGTGCATAACGATTGCTTCCCTTGCAGAAGAACAGAGTTGTCCACCCACTCAGCTTAACACAACAAACTTTGTGGACGTGGCAAATGTGAGTCAGGATTCCCAATTGACACAAACTGCTGCCGATCCACTAATGTCCCAGGAAATTGCGCTTGTGGACCAGGAATTACATGTGCCAGAAACTCAAAGTGATCCAACGCCAATACCGCCGATTAAAAAGGAACCCAAATTTCTAAACAACCAACGAGGAACTTTGAACAGCAATGATTGCCAATGGGAGACTATTACGTCGGAGGAACAAATAATTGACTTGGATGCCAGCCAAAACCAAGAACCGATTTTCTCCTGCTTTGCAATCGCCAAGCCGACAGAGGAGAAAGTGGAAGAGTTGACAGCTCCTGCGCCTCCAGAACCGTCGACGCATCAGGAAACTGCGAGTCTGGGCAAGCGACAGGCTGCCAGCAAAGCAGTGCCCAGCAAGCGAATTAGACTGATCAAAGACAACGTTCCGCAGCTGAGGCATCAGTTCCAACCGCTGCCGATGGGTGTAGTTGTGCGATTCGAATCTGGAGCAAACCAACCAGAGCCCGAGATCACGCCCTCGCAGGACTTTGCCGCTGGCAACACACTCCTGGATTGCCCTGATCTCAATGCACTGCTAAATTCAACGAATGTCAACACCCGCAAGGTAATTGAAGAACAAGTTGATACTGTTTCTGTTATAGTTCCTGCCTCGAAGCCCGTTGTCGTTCCGCCCCGTCTTCAAAGCAGCATTATATTCCGCGATCTGGTGCGCTTCAGCTTCTTCAGCTCGCTGACTGTTGAGCAAATAATAAGGTATCGCATTGAAGGATACCTAGAGGGTGCGAACTACCAAAACGCACTGGCTAGGATCGACGACAGGCTGTGCAACTTGCGGGGTCCGCTGCTCGAGAGCCTCTTTCCCCACCTCTCAACCACGTTGCGAGCTGACTTGCAGCAGGTGCTCTGCGATTTGGGGGAGTTCACCTACAAATGCCGCTGGCCAACGCACAAAGATGCCACCGCAGATCTCCGCGCACGGGTTGTCCATGTCTTCATGGATGTGGCCCCAAAATTCGGGCAGTTCCGCATCCAGTACGATAATGCAACCAGGGAGTGGGCTACCTGTAGCGAAATGGGCAGGTGGAACACCGAGGCGGACGTGCGGGAAACCAGCTTCGACGTCGTCGAGTTCATCGACCCCGGCATCTTGAAGAGAATGAAGAAACTAAAGGATCTGATGAGTTGATATTTATTAAAACCACATTTTTGGTTCAGTTTAACCGAATGTTAATGAATAAATGGTTAATGCTATATAAAATCGTTTGCTTTTTTTCTTTTCAGAGACTGCCATGATCTTAGCTTCGGAGTCAAGAAATGTGTTGTGAAAAGTATTAGCTTTAAATTAAATGTGATGTTAATGTTCGATGTATGCCATGGAAAAAACCTAATTTCCTATATTATTGTTTTGAAATGATTTAGTTAATGCCTTTTAAGCAAATCATACTTGTATTCGTATTAAAAGTTTGGACTGTCTACAGTTGCTTATGTATATTTGTTACAGTCTTGCTGAGGGTTTAATAATTTTACCTTAATGTTTGTAATGCAAGAAAGAGTTATTACTGGTTATATAAAGTGTAAAAATTGTTTGTTTTTGTGCAATTTTCAAAGATTAGGGACTTGCAACTGTCTTAATTGTCAACACTCTATGGTTTTAATAAAGACGATCAATTCACAATCAAATCGAAATTTCTTATCAGGTTTTTAAATCTTGAAGGTGATATGGCAGTAAAGATGTTTTACTAAAATAAATCAAATTTAAAAGAGAAATTAAAATGTCGTGTCATAGCCGCATAGTATGACCGTATCAAGATCACATTTGGTCAGTATTTAGTGGGTACTCTACAATAAAAATGCATTCCTATTCCGTTTTCAAATCATTTATTCGCCGATTTCACGTTAAACCCAACACAAACCGCTCTGAAATGTTGATGCAACAGTTAAGACTAATTTACTGGACATCTAGTGGTGCTCGGCATGCTCCTTGGCCTGGGATTCGGCCCATGCCTTCTTGTTTTCGGGCGAGTTGGCTGAAATGGGGCAGAAATAAAGGATTAATCGGGATGTCAAGTGAGTTGTCCGGCTGAAACGCACCCAATTTGCTGATCTTGTAGAAAACGGGCACGCAGGCGACGGCTGCAATGAAGTAGTAGCGCCAGATCCACTGGTTCTTGATGTAATGCTTGATGGGGAACTGGGCAATCTTCGCCGAGAAGGTGTACGGGTAGCGCATGGGGCGTCCGGCGGGTTTCTCAGCAGCAGCTTTGTCGGCCATTGTAGTCGTGGATTTCGTAGCTGCAGCGGGCCAATTTAAAAGATTTCGATTTATGCAAAAATTATGTAATTTTCAGCTCAGACGGGCGAACATACGAACCTCACAAATAAAAGACAGCTATGGGAATGCCAACTTGTTTGCTCCAGCAAGCTCTAAAAATGACAGCTGTGCATTGGAAATTCTGGCAACGCTGGCCATGTGTTTACCACTGACAATCGAAACTGTTATCGATTCGCTCGCAGCACTATCAGCTGCTAGACTTTTTGCCATCGTGAGCAAAACTTTCAATTTATTTTAAATTATAGTATAAATAGTAAGGTAAGTGGTGCACAAATATATGTTAAATTATGAACTATTTTAGCCCAACTTTATGCTTACTAAACACCTCAAGATTCAGCCTGGATATTAATTACAGCGCTAGAGAAGTCGGAACCTTTAACCTTTCAAGTCCTTTTTCCACTTAAATTGCCTTGTCTCTCTCTTTTCAAGCTTTCAAAATGGTTTTAACTAGCGAACAGGTGCTACAGGTAGTTAGCCTCACTTAACCAAGTTCAAATAACTAAGTATTAAGTGGCCTAAATTTCAGCTTTCAATTCTGCATGGCTCCCGATTTGATTTTGAATTGGATTTATATAGTGTGATGATCTTACATGTTGCTAAGTCAAGTACTAATGATGTTATTACTAATTCCCAGACTGACGCCCAGATCTTGAAGACCAAGCACAAGAAGCAAAGGCAACGCAATCGACCGCGCAACAAACGAAATCGCCTGGAAGATAGCAACCTAACGACCCCGGAGACCTCAACCACCGATTCTGCCAGTGCAATGCCCGGAAACAAGGATGCAGGGGCCACGGAGAAGCCGCGAGATCAAATAATGGCTGAGAGGGAGGCGAAAAAGCTGGCCAAGCAGGCCAAGAAACAGAATAAGCCATCTACTCCAGCCACTTCAGCAACTCCAGCAACTCCGGCCACTAAAATCATCACCGAAGTGGAGCAGACGACCATAACCACCAAGCTGACGACCACCACCACCACCAAGGCCCCGGAGAAAGTGAATTCACTGGCTCCAAAGACAGCTCCAGCAGTTGTGGCCAATGGCAAGGAGGCGGAGACGGGGGAAATGTCTCGGGAGATGATCAAGGCTGAACGCGAGCTCAGGAAGGCGGCCAAAAAAGCTGGCAAAGGAACAGGAGCCAAAGTGGAGGCCACCACACAACAGTTGGCTGCTCTTAAAGTGGGGGACAAAGCTCCGGGAACAGCTAAAGCTGCACTTCCAGTCACAGAAGAGGACCACGAAAAGGTAAGTGCTTACTGAATTACAATTTCCCTGCAAGATCAACATCTCAACTCTTCTACAGAAAAAACCAGTACTCAGCAAGGCAGAGCGACGGGCCGTTCAAGAAGCCCAGCGGGCAGCCAAGGCCCAAGGACAGGTTAAGAAAGGCCAGCCAGCTGGCAAGACTCCATCCTCCGCCGCTCCTCCCAAGGAAGCCAAGCGGGAAAGCGTCTCTCCCAGCAAAGCAGCCACCGGCAGCAGCTCACCCACCAAATGTCCAGCGAGCACGCCAAACGGTGAATGTCGGGTAAAGCTCTTCAATCACCTGGTTTGCGCCAAGGCAGACAGCCAGTTCATCAACGATCCGCTGGTCCATCCGAGCATAGCCCGTTTGGGGGTGCAGTATGCCAAGCGCACGGTGGTCGGGTCCAATGCCAGATGCATCGCCTTCCTGCACGCGCTGCGTCAGGTGGTCCACGACTTCGAGACGCCTGCGAAGAAGGAGTTCGGTCGCAGCCTAGACGCTGCTGTGAAGCACCACGTAGACCACCTGCACAAGTGCCGACCACTGGCTGTGTCCGTGTCCAATGCTTACAAGCAATTCAAGAACCAACTAACACAACTACCGGCGGATGTTCCCGAAACGGAGGTAAGTCTATCACAAAAAAAAGGCTGTTATGAATCTCTTATTGAAACCATTACATTAACAGCTAAAGGAACTACTCGGCCACTTCATCGACACTTACATAGAGAATCAAATCGGCAAGGCAGCCCAAGCGATAAGCGGCTTTCTGCAGGAGAAGATCACCGATGGCGATGTGCTGTTGACCTTTGCCTGCTCCTCGCTCATCCAGTTCATCTGCGAGGAGGCCAAGCGACGCCAGGTGGCCTTTCGGGTGATTGTCGTCGACTCGCGACCCGGATGCGAGGGTCAGGAGATGCTGCGTCGCCTGCACGCCTACGGCATCCCATGCACCTATGTGCTGATCAATGCCGTCGGATATGTGATGGCGGAGGCCACCAAAGTGCTGCTCGGAGCCCACGCTCTGCTGGCCAACGGCTATGTGATGGCGCGCACGGGAACTGCCCAGGTGGCCCTGGTGGCCAATGCCCACAACGTGCCCGTGCTCGTTTGCTGTGAGACGCACAAGTTCAGCGAGCGCTTCCAGACGGACGCCATCGTCTACAACGAGCTGAGCGATCCCAACCAGCTGGTGCGCGGCGACAAGTGCCAGCTGAGCAATTGGAAGGCCAAGGGCAAGCTGATGCCCCTCAACCTCAGCTACGACATTACGCCCCCGGAGCTGGTCAGTGCCGTGGTCACCGAAGTGGCCATCCTGCCCTGCACCAGTGTTCCGGTCATTCTCCGCATCAAGCCCGACATTGGCTACTAATCGGACTTCTTCGATCGCTCAGTGGAAACTCGCGCTTGTTGAATAAATAGTTTTTATTACACTTTGATCAAATCGATAAACAAGTTAGCGTAGTTCACATAATTTACGGGTGTCCAGCAAGTTAACGCTAGTGGAATATATCATGGATGCCAGGGACCGCTGAAACGAAGGAGGGCTACGCCCAAGTGTCTGTACATCCTTAATCTGGCGAATTTCTGTCGGAAACGATTGATATTGATCCTACTATTGAGCGGTCCCGTTGTGTGACACCTATTTTACATTTGTAATTTGCATTTAATTGTACTTTCTTTTGTGTGGGCTGGTGATTGGCAAATTAGTCGCTCTAAATTCTAACAACAAAATACGGTTTTGTGCCCGACTTATTATAGACTAGGACGATGCCTGGAAGCCAATCGCTAGTGGATTGTTTTGGTTTTACTCTTTTGATTTCCATTTGCAACAACTTGAATGAGCTTCTATAAGCAGCTACAGCTACAGCTACAGCTACAAATGCAACAATAAATACACACAATATAATATAATAGAGTTTCCATTCCAATCGCACACTTCCTGCTGCTCCTTTGATCCTGCCGTTCACGACCTTTTACGGGCTCTGCTTTTGCATTTGTCGGAAGCACCCTCGGCACACGGGCACCGGTTTGCCACTGTCGTGTCCTGGTAGCGCCACACTCTTGTCTATGCAGCGCTCGCAGAAGATGTCCCCACAGCGCCAGCAATGTGTCTATTCACGTATATATACATACATATATAAGTTTTACACATTTTAGTTGGTTTTATTTAGTTACCTTTTTGCTAAACTGATCGAAGGGCGTGGAACAGGAGCAGGTGGTCACATTGCGCATGGGCTTCCAGTCCACGGCCACGGAGTTGATTTCCTCGGGCAACGCCTGCGGCACACTCGATTGCTCGGCGTTCAGCGACAGATTGGCAAAGGACATGTTGCTGGCCTTCAGCGGGTGATCGTCATCGGCAGCCGAAAGTTCGCTCAGCTTTTTGTCATAGTTGTATCTGCAGTAAACCATCGATTTTAATAAGAAGCACTTGTTTTTACCACGAAATGTACGGCTCACTTGTTATCATTGATTTCGTTGCTGGAGACCTCTTTGCTGACTTTCGCGGTGGTGCTGGTGGCGTCCTGCAGCTTCTTGGCCGACTTGGAGATGTAGTTCTTGAAGCTGGCTATGCGCTTCGTGAGGTGCTGCACATGGTCCTCCAACGAGTTGCAGTGCTCCTTGCTGTCGAGCAGCAGGTCGCCCAGTGGCTCCCGCGGATGAATGCCACTCTCAAAGCGGCTGTACATGCCGCGCCAGAACCTATTTAACAATCGTTTCATTTAAAAAAGATCTCAGTTAACTCAAAAGAATCCATACTTGATGCACTGCGGTGCCAGATTGGCCTTGATGGCCTCGTCCACATTGGGCCTGTACAGCGGGTTGATATACTCGTTCAGGTGGTTGGCCATAAAGCCCCAAAGCGAAAATGTGCGCTCGGCCAGCTTCAGATCCAAGCGATCCTTCTCACAGTTGCCCACAAAGGTGCCGAACTGACACGAGTGCACGTGGTCGTGAAGGATGAGCAGGAATCGCTCGTTGAATTCAAAGGATTCGCTGCGCTGCGACATCAGCTGCCAGGTGCAGTCCAGGAACTGAGTGAAGATCGGCGACACCTCGCGCGCATCCGTCTGGATGTGGCCGCAACGCTCGCTGAACTTGTGCCCGAAAGCCAGCCAATCCTTCTCGATGAGCGCCTGGAAACCCTTGATGGTCCGGTAGTAGGGGTTCAGCATGAGCTGCGCCAGCGAACAGACCTGGGCAGTTCGATCCCAGCCGTCGGAGCAGTGGACCACCACCGAAACACCCTTGTCCACGGCGTTGGCAATAAAGCTGCCAGGGTAGAAAGTTTAGTATTAATCAAATTCATCAACCAACTCATAGTTACATAGTTAGCTAAACACAAATTCATGTATTCTCTCACCTCGACGTGTCCAGTATGGAGCGAATGTGCTTCAGCCAGCCAGACGACTCGAGGGCATTGAGGAAGGCGCCCATCGTGGGCGACTTCTGTTCACAGGCCTCCAGCACTTTCTGCAGACTGGCGCGCTGCACGTGGATGTTCTCGATGCCGAGGAAGTGGAATTTGATGTTCTCATAGAAAGCCTCGTTCTCGTATCCCTTGCCGGCGGCTCTGTTGGCCATCGCATTGATCTGCAAGCGGCGTAAATGGATTATTTACATATGCCAGCCCCCTGGGCATCCATCCCCCCCCCTGTGACTCACCCGCGGTCGTGTGTCCACCACATACATGTAGTCCGTGTTGGAATTCGTCTTGCGTATGGCCTCCAGCATTTGCTCATCCTCCAGACAGCGGGCACTGAATCCGGACAGCGGCTGGCTGCACCGGCAGATGGAGGCCTAAGTAAGAAAAAGCAGCATATTTGTATTAGTTACTTGTATAACTTGAATTGTGCGGCATTTACCTTGTTGTTGTGCAGATAGGTGAGCGCTGGAAGTCGACCCTTTGAGCGGAATCGCGAACTGCTGATGAGCATCAGCGTGGTGGCCTCCTTGGGCACGTAAATCTGACGCGGATAGGTGTCGCACAGTTCGTACTTCTCGTTCATGGAGCACAAGGTCCACGCCTCGTTGGGCACCAGCATGTGCTTGAACTCGGCCTCCAGCTTGAAGTAGTCCCAGCCGGTGTTCTTGGGGAAATCATCCTTGTTCGGCTGGTAGTTGAAGCAATACAATTTGTTGATGGACACTGCGCCCCCGGGAAATGATTGTGCTTTTATAAATATGCAAACAGATTGGCTTTTCTTTTGTCCTGCGAATTCTTACCCGGCTGGAAGAGCTTCAGCAGCGAAGTGTAGACATCGTGGCACTCGGAGTCCTTGGGAATGACGAATGTGACCGACAGGAAGGTCTTGCAGCGAATGAGCAGTGGCGATCCCGTTGTGCTTAAGGGCAACTTCTCAATGCTGGCGACGTGCATGTGCAGGATCTACAAAAAAGTGGATGGAAAATATAATCACTTCCATTATATGAAAACACTGGCAAATAAACCAAGCTTTTAGTTTAATTTCATTACTTAAAAAAGCGTTTCTATCACGAAGAGTTTGTTTTTCTTTTATTTTTAATAACAAATTAACCCCGATTATTATTTAGCTTAAATCGTGTTGTTCACTTCAAAGTGCTCAAAAAAATAGAAAAAAAAAGAAAAAGAAAATTTATCAGCTTTAAAATACATGTAAATTTTTATTTGTTAATTCGGTCAACTAAAGGTTTACTTCAAAAAAGATTATTTGGTCTAATTTCTATTAATCAAATGAATAACATAAAAGTATACGTAACTACAAAAGGTGAAAAAAAGGAAATTTAAATTTATTGAGGCTTATAAAATTGTATAGTTCACCAGAACGACTTGTTTTAACTGTCTATCTTTCTATTAAGCTGATTGAGTTTTATATTTGTGAGTGAGACATTCAAAAACTCAGCTTATGACCATGACTTCGCCCAAGGCTTCTCTTATGCAACACTCGCAAAACCCCAACTGAACTTAACGTACTCCCCCCTTCCGGGACACCCCAACTACGTGCCTGGCCAGAACTGCTTTCGCCACTAAATAATTGATGCGCCACTGTGGCGGGCAGTAAAAAAAATACTGAGCAACTGAGGGGCAGCAAGACGAAGCAGCTGGATTATGAGGAACTAAGCAACCAATTTTCAATGGCACACAAAAATCGATATCTCTCTGTGGTTCACTCAGCTCCTAAGTGTTTTCACTTTTAATTAACCACTTTGTGGGGTCCTAGGTTCCTCTGGGCCACTTGTGGCACTTGGATGCGCCAACTTGCATTGCGGAGTGTTTCTAGTGCATAATTAATACAATTTTTGGCGAGGCAATTAAAATGCAATGCTTGCTTGCTTCCGGGCCAAACCTCGTTACGTATACGCAGTGGGTAACTTACTCGGTTGGCATAATTAAACGCGTTTAGTGGCACTTACATGTGCTGCTTTGCTGCGATTTGAGCAGGCAAAAATGGCATGTGTCAAAGGATTTAAGCTTGCCGGGGATATTCTCTAAAAGCCAGCGCAAAGCCAGGGTTTTTTCGACTATTCAGGACGAGGCTTATTGTCACTTTATCCTTTCACTTCTATTAAGAATGCAACGTGCTCGCCGGCTAACAAATCGCATTGGCCAGCACAATGGACGAGCGCTAAGCCTTTTTCGCAACCCCTTTGACAGTGAATTAAATTTGTTTCCCGCTGCAACAAGGAAATATTTTCGCCTCTGTTGGCTGTGCAATTAATGTACACAACAGCTGAACGAACACAATTTGTGTGTGTGCAATGGGGCGTATGTGCAACACGCTTATGCAAACTTTTCATTTCTGCATGCCAGATTGCAGAAGGCGAATTAAGTTCCTCGGTAAACATGAAACTTAAAGCGCAGAAACATGCTGCGAACTTGCTAAAGGAAACTTTTCTGCACTCATCCTCGGAATTATTCTCGGCAAAAAAGCGGAAATGCAGCGGACCTCAGACATCACTCGGTTTTTAGGAGGGGCTTTAAAGTTTTTGACATCTGCGAGGTCGGTGCTAAACCGAAAGAAATACCCATTTGAGCACGTTCGCAAGAAGGAGACTTATTTGCAAGAACAAAGGTGACTCATTAAACTGCTTTGTGGGCCACGCAAATAAACACTCGCTACTCCAACTGAAAAAGTTCTTAGCACACAAAGAATGGCGGCTTTTAGTTGGGGTCTTAGGTCTTAGAGTAATTGATGATGTCATCAGGGGGCCCCCACTTACCCAGGTCTCCTTGTTGCTATCGGGCTCCACGAAAATCAGATGGGTGGCCGTCAGATAGAGGGTGCCCACCGTGGGATTTTTGGTATTGTAGCGATCTATCATCCGCACATTTTCCACCTGCAAAAACAAGTGAAAGAAAGAGAGAGAGAGAAATTTAACAATTTGATTTAAATTTTTGTTTGCCAGCGGAATTTCTGGTGCTTTACTTCAGCTGTGCCCGGCTGACGTCAGTGGAATCCATATAGTTT